GGACAGGACAGCCTCCCCGGAGTTGGGGGACAGAGCTAACTCCCTTTGACAGCATCAGATGCTGTACCAGGGACTGTGAGACTTTGGAGCCCCCAGCTGGGTGTGGACAGGGCTTCTGGGTCACCTGCCTCTCTGTGCTTTCAAGTCCCTGGGCACTAAACAGAAGCACCCTTCTCAGAGCAGGCGCTGAGGGGCACGGACGGAGCCTTCAGCTCTTGGAGGCCTCTTTCCATCTTTTGGTCTGAGGGGCCCTCTCGTCTCCCTCTGTTCAGGTTCCCTCAGCTCCTTCTGCTGCCCCGAGTGCCTTCTAGGTCCCCAGCTGCCTCGGGTCCTCTCTGCAGTGCACACAATCTAACACCGAGGGCCATGGGCCACATCTCCTGCTGAGAATCCCATCCATGCACCTTTTTCCCGCCTCGGCTGTACATTGGCATCACCTGAAAGCTCCCTGCACTACCGTTATGCAGCCCCACCCCCAGAGTCCGCTCCAGGTGTTGACCCAGCACCCTGGGTGGCTGGTGCTGTGCTGGGTGCGGGAGTTACAGTGGCAGTGAGATGCGGTCACTGTCGCTAAGAAGTTCACAGCAGTGGGAGTAGGTATTTACTGAGTGGAATAAGCAATAGTTTCAGAAATATCTACCAAGCCTTGGCCGGGTGGCTCGGTTGGTTGGCAGGTCATCCCATACACAAAAAGGTTGCAGGTTTGATCCTTGGTCAGGACACATTCCTGGGGTTGCGTGTTTAATCCCGGACCAGGGCACATAGGGGGAGGCAACTGGTCGATGTTTCTCTCCGATAGCGCTGTTTCTCTTTCTCTCTCTCTCCCCCACCCCCTTCCTCTCTCTCAAATCAATGAAAACATATCCTTGGGTGAGTATTAGAGAAAAAAAAAAAGAAAAACTACCAAGAGGCCACCTCTCGTAAGTCTCTGTTGGAAAGAAGGGATCTTTACCTCCTTTATAAACCGAGTGGAAAGTCGTCTCCTTGGGTACATGGATTGGTGGGAGGGAATTTAGTGAATGAGTCCCTATGCCCCAACCTCCCATTTTATAGATGAGAAAACCAAGGCCGAATGGCCACGTTTTCAGCACTGGAGGAGGCAGGAGGTCTCTGAGAGCCAGAAGGCTCTTGCGTGAAGGCATCCCTGCCAGCGGCTTGCAGCAGCTGCTAAGCTGTCCTCCAGTCCAGCCTCTGATGCCAAGTTAATAAAAGATTCAGGGAGCATTAGTAAAACCATTTTAATCAAGTCTAGATAAATTCAAGATTAATTAAACTGTGATGGGTAACAGCTAAGGATTAGTGAGATTACAAATAGTTTCTAGGAGTTTATATTTAAATGCTGATGATTACATGCATGCTCTTAAATGAAGTCACATTTAAATGTTATATCAGTTCAGCCATTTTTGTGAGCTGTATTTTTGTAAATTAAAGAATAATTGGTGGAAAACGAAGCAAATCTCTTTACTACCCTAACCTACCAAGCCCAGCTGTACTGCCACTTGCTGGCTGCATGATCCTGAGGAAGTCGTCGATCTCCTCTGACCTCCGGCTTATTCATCTACAAAATGAAGCTAATAATAGTCCCTATGAAGTGAGGCACAGCACGTACAGCAGAGCCTGAGGCCAGGGGACCTGAGGTCAAATCCCAGCTCTACCACTTAAAAGAGTAATGCTTGGGGAAAATTGCTTAACCTCTCTGTGCTCCAGTTTCTTCATCTGTAAAGTGGGGTAAATGGTATTCCCCATGTCAGCAAGTTGTTATGGGGCTGAAATAAATTCACACACGGGAAGAGGCTGGGACCTTGCCTGGCAGGGTGCTCACAAGTGGCAGTTCCCGATGATGGTGAGGGCACAGAGAGGTGGTCCGCAGTGGTAGGATACAATTTTGGATTCTGAATAAGCTTTTTGAAAATTGAAGAATGTAAATCTAAGCAGTGGGCCCGGGCTAGTGTGGCTCAGTGGATTGAGTGTCAACCTGGGAACCAAAGGGTCACCAGTTCAACTCCCCGTTAGAGCACTTGCCTGCCTTGTGGGCCAGGTTCCCAGTAGGGGGCGAGTGAGAGGCAACCACACTTTGACGTTTCTGTCTCTTTCTCCCTTCCTTCTCCTCTGTCTAAAAATAAATAAATACGATCTTTATAGAGCACACACACAATGTAGCCAGACCACCATCTCAACACGAAATTGTCTAGTTCTGGAACTTCCCACCCCCCTGGTTTTGTGGTGGGAGTAGAGCCAGGAGCCTAGGATTGGAGGGTGGCGGGGGGAGGGCAAGGAGGCTGCTTCTGGGAGAGGTGTTGAGTCTTCATCCTCTAGGTCAGCAGTGGAGTGTGGGGACAAGCAGGCTGGTGTGCGACGGGCGGGAGGTGGTGGTGTGGGGGGATTTCAGGCAGTTATGAGGTTGCGAGGGGAGCAAGGGGTTAGGACACCTGGTCCTCTGGCAGGGTGGGCGGGGTGGGCGACGTGGGGGGGCTTCGATTTGGTCCTGGAGGGGAGGCAGAGCTGCCTGTACGGAGTTGAGGCTGGGATTAAGGGGGGAGGTGCGGCTTTTCCTTTAGAAAAATGGTTTCCAGTGTGGGGAGGCACCTAGGTAATCCTTCGGGGTGTGCTAACAAAATATCGGAACTTCTATTTATAGTTTTAAGGTAACCAACTTAAAAGTCTTTTTCTGTGTATGAATGTTTTTCAGTATACATATTAGTTCAACAGCACTGGTATAGTAATAAATAAACATAAACATGCAGAAACATACATCGAAGGTTCCAAACTTTTTTTTTACTGAGAGGTACAGCCAATAGAAAAAGTCTTCGTCGCTTCTCGGCCTTCTGGCTAAGATGAAGCGTGAAAACGCTTTCAGAACAGGACTCCGGTGCGTTGCAGGGGATGCGTGGGGAGAGGAGTCAGAGCGAGCAAGGGCAGAGAAGGTGGACTCGGGATAGCTGTTGACGGCCCCTGCTGGCCATTACTGGAAGTGCAACATTACTCAGCGCCCCACCGGATCTGCGGGAAATTCGGGACACGCACTCTCGTTTTATTTCCCCTTGTGCCCTGACCCCCGATCCCAAAGCTCTGGGATGAACATCCACCAGAAGAAAACCTTGATTTGAGGGGATGCAGAGACACTGCCTTCATTATTTGTAACTTTTGGGGGGAGGACGGAAGGAATACAGAGCTAACTACGGACCCCCCTATGGGGAGTACCCATGACCTCACTTCCCGATCCCCACCCCACCGCGCCCCCGCAGGACGGGCAGCCTCTAACTGCCCTGCATTGCGGGCCCCTCAAACCGGCTTCACTTCCCAGATCCCCCATTTCCCACCAACAGCACCCTCACTCCTTCAGGCCCAGCTTAGAACCTTTTGGGTCTTAGTGCACCTCTGTTATGACGTTCAGTTATACCACCAGAAAGTGCCTCCGGTGTCTGACACCCCCCTTCCGACCTCCATCCACCCCGGGCTGTGAGCTCCAAGAAATCAGGAAGCAGTGACACTGTTGCTGAAGCTACTACCTGGCCCAGTATCACCCTTGTCGGGAACAGAATAGGAACATCTTACTCTGCATCCAGAAATGTTTCTCCTGCCCTGTGACCTCACAGGGCTGTGGTGAGAATCAACAATTTACAAGGTCCTGAACAGATGGGAGCGGCTGCTAGCCTTCTTTCTACAAGGCCCTTCATAGAGAGATGCTGTTGAGTACCTAACATGAGGAGGCAGCTGGTAAGAATATTGAGTTGGGCTCCACCTCCCTAGTGGACCAGATTCTGGGATCCCACCTCGGCTTGGAGATCCTGAATGGAACTGAAGCTGTGGGATGCTGCGGGGTGATAGTTACTTGATTGAGAAGTAATTAATGTTTTGGTGGAATTCAAGATCCTTCCACTTCCCAGACACATGTAAACAGCAGAGGGATTCCTTGCCCAGAGATCCGCATGTGAGAGCGGACGGTAGCCATCATAATGGGAAGGGGACCTCTTCCTGAGTTGAATTAGGAGGGTCTTCTGGTTTGAAAGCAGTGAGTTGGAAGCAGCGTGTCCAGGAAGCCTCTTTGGTGGGAGACCAAAGCCCACGATCCAGTCTCAGCCCTCTGGGGTCACTAACACTTTTCTTTCCTTATAAAGGCAGAGAGATTTTAGTAGAGCATGGCCAGGTTCTGTGGCTTTTACCCTTATCTATGCCTTTCAGAGCTCAAGGGCAAGCCTAGTTTCCAGGGACACCGGGACCAGCCTCCTGCTTTGGAGATGGATTCCCAAGTGAAACTCATGTCTGAGCTTTCCAAGCAAGTTTTCAGAATACGTAGGTCCCTTAGGAACCCACTGAGCAAGGATAACTCCTGCGTATTCTGGAGGACCATAGGGGGTGGGCAGGCACCCAGGCCAGAGTCCTAAGTACCCTGGCTGGCCCCCAAGGCTCCAAGCACTAGCGAAGGGGGGCCCCAAGGAACCTCTAGTATTTCTAAGCTTTACAATATCTTTCACTAGCAGGTCTGGGGTGGAGCCAGAGGCTGGGCGAAGGCGGGCAACTGGGTTTAACCCTTTATTTACTTCCCGAGATGATACTCCGAAGAAAGATATCAAATGACTTATTTCTGTATTCCTAGCTCCCAGGTCCAGGATTAAAATAGGATCTTGAATCCCTTCGTGAAGACTTTCCCCAACCCCTACGCTTTTGCAAATTCTTCCAGAGAGTTGGGGATCCAGGTATACACCATTTGAGTCCTTAAAAGCTGTCCCTGAGTCTGAAGCCCTGATGGGGTGGGTCTGTTGCTCTTTGGAGGCGTCCCTAAACGCCTTCGGTTCCTTTTCCCAATTGGGAAGCAGGATAACGAGGAAAAGTGAGGGACGCCCAGTGCCGGGACGCGGGTCCAAGACGAAGGAAAGGGGAGGAGTAATCTTTCACCATCGCCCTTTTAAGGGATCGCTGGGCGATGAGGGACACTAGTGGGTACAGGTCCCAAATGGTGCTTCCCTGAGTGGGCAGGGAACAGGGGAGCGACGCCTCTCAAACCGCCACCTCCCCGCCTCTCCACTAGCTGCTCGGAAAGACCGCTGTCGGTGGGCTAGTCCGGCTGCGTCCCAACCCTCCTCCCCTCCGGGTCTCCGCCCCCTCGCGCAGAGGAGGCCTCGCCGCTTTAAGAGCCGGGCAACCCATCGACTAGCAATAAACGCTGAGCGCCGGCTGAGCTGGAGCCGCGAGAGCCGGGGGCTCCCCCCGCACGCAGGTAGGCGGCCCTGGCCCCCAGGCCGGCGCCCACCTCAGGGTCCCTGTGTCCTCTACGTACAGGCACGGCACTTGGGGTCCTATCCTTTGGGTCCAATCTCCCCGGGCCCCTTCCCCCAGGCCCGCCTCCTCTTCTTTCACCTCCTGCTCCCCCTTCTCGGTGCTCCCGGGGAGGACCGAAGCCCATTGCCGGTGACACTGCTCCCCGCACCCCCCCCCCCGCGCTAAAGGCTCCGAGGTGACAGCGGGCGCCGAGCTGGTGAGCTGTGCGGGATCGGGGGGGCTGTGCAGATTCGGGGTACTCCGGGGCCCGGCATTACATAAGAAATGCGCTGTTAGTACTTCCGGCGGGTGGGGGCGCGAAACAGAGGCTGCATGGGACCCTCTGGCTCCCCGATTCTCTTGGGAGGCTAACGCCTCAGCCTTCCCCTGCGGGAGTGGGTCCTGGGGCGCGTTCCCTCCCCTCCTCCGAGGCCGTGGTGGGTTGGTTCGGGGTCAGGGGCCAGGGTCAGGGTCTGGAGACATGGAAGGGGATCGGTGTCAGGAACCAGGATCCAGGGTCAGAAGTTAGGTCAACTAAGGGGGGCAGAGCGAAGACCCGGGCGGGTACAGCCAGTCAGTGACCTCATCCCTCGGTCTCCCGCGGGCGCGCTAGCAGAGAGCCTCCTTTCAGGGCTCGCAACACGCCCCCCTGCCCCCAGGTCCTAGCGCCCAGCGTGTTAGGGCTGGGCTCTTGGGGCCCGGGCGCTCGGAGTGTCGCTGCGCGCAATCCACCCGGCCTCTAGAACCCCATCCCTAGTCTGTCTCCCCCTCCCTGCGACCAGTCGGTTTTCCAAGCGCCTTTGTCAGACCTTTCTCTTCCACATCTCTTTGTATCTGTATTGATGGAGGGGTGGATGGGAGGTGGGAGAAAACCTCTCCTTTTCATCCCTGGTCCCCATCGCCGCCGACCCTGAGTCATGTCGACAACCTGGAGGTAGGGGCGAGAGGGGTCCAAGGCTTTGGAAGACGGGTGCGAATTCCCAGATGCCTAGGTCCCGGCCCTTGGCCCGGAGCCAGCCCGGCCTGCCTGGCACTGCTGTGCTCTTGTGGGCACAGCCGGACCCCGCCCTCTCAGAGGTTTGGGTGGGGGTGGGGCAGAGCTAGCTGCTGCCGTGGGAACCGACTCCTCAGGGAGAAAAACCTAGGCAGGCTGGGCAAGAATTCTGGGGACAGGGTTTCCCCTGCCTCTTCCCACCCTCCACCCTCCAGGGCAGGTGGACATCTGGAGTCCTCTCGGTCAGTACCTCCATTAGGGAGAATGTTGCCAGAGAGGAGCCTCCAGGTTGCAAGCTGTCAGGATCTGGGATGGGGAAGGAAGGGATCCCTCCTCACTGCTTTCTAGAAATAAGGACAGCAGGGGTTGGCACAGGGGCCACTGGCTGGCATGTCTCCCAGCCTGGGTGCTAGCCTTGCTGGATGCGGTCCTCTTTCTGAAAGCTGCTTCCTTTTTCTTTCACACCTTCAGGGGCAGGTCCAGGAGGAAGGGGAGTCATCCTGCCATCTTTGTAATTGCTGTCATCTGAGCTCAGGTGAGCAGCTGAGGCCTAGGAGGGGACTGGGAGTAGAGAGGATTTCACTGAAACCAGGTAGTAGTCCCTCTGGGAAGAGTCCCTTTTGGGCGAGGGAGGTGAAGTTGTGGCTTCCCCACACCCTGGGCCCAGCATTCTGTCCTAGAGTGGACACTGGCAGCTATTGCCCTGCACTCCCCACCTCTGCTGTGAGCCACCGCCTCTTGTTGTCATGGCAACCAGCAATTAGGGTTTTCTTCTGCAGCATTTACCCAGGAAGGCAAAGGGAGCATGGGTGGGGGGTTGGCCCCAACCCCTCCCACCCCCTTTCCTGAAGAATGGGGGAACCAGCCCTGGCTTGGGGGTCCTGGGATGGGAACTGGGGCTGTAAACTTCATACCGGGTTCTGCCCAGAGCCCCCTCTCCTGCTCGTCCCAGCTCTGGGCTAAGAAGGGGAAAAAGGGGGGAGAGGAACCCGGAGAAGCCTTGGGGAGTTATGACATCATTTCTTTCAGGCAGACTGACAGACATTTGTGGCACATCTGCCTGCGCTGTGCTAGGCCTCGGGTCCACTGGCCAATGAAGCAGAGGTGGTTCTTGACTTCAATGGGCTTGCAGTCTGGGGACACCCATCTTTCTTGCTTTTGACTCAAATTCTGTATTCTTATCCAACCCCTCTAAAAAAGAAAAAAAGAAAAAAGGACAGGTGGCAGGCAGAAACACTTCATTTTTTGTTAAGAGTCATAAAACTGGATTTTCATTGCAGCTCTCTATGAGCTGTGTGACCTTGGACAAATCAATTACTCTCTCTGATCCTCTGTCTCCTCCTCCTTGAAGCAATGGGCATGAAGTATCTGCTCCTTCTGCCCCACCCCCCGGACTGTGGGATCTCCGATTTCTGGGCAAAGTCTTCTTTCCTGCCTTGCAGGCTGGTCCAAAGGGAGCCGCCCTCCCTAGTTCCTTCCCCATTGCTTTGCCCTTCCACTTTCTCATCTTCCTTTTCCTCTCCTCCAGGAGAGGCATTTCGGAGCCCTTGTGAGCCTCGCCATGCCTGTTGCTGCCACCAACTCTGAGACTGGTAAGAAGGGGGAGAGGATGTCCGTGGATATCGGTGGTTCAGAGGGTAATAGGCAGGGTGGGGAGCAGCAGTCCGGCACTCCCACACAGCGGAACCCACAGCTATTCCCCCAGCCACTCAGCCATTTGTTCAGGCAGCTTCTGTGGCCCTGCCGCACCTGCCACGGGGTGGGGCTGGAGACACAGCACGACTCACCTCTGTGCAGGGCAGGGGTACGCCTGCTCCAGAGATGATGCACACTCCTAATTGTTGGAGGACTATGGCATGGGGCCTGGCTGGTGAGAAAGCAGCCCCTGCGAGCTGGGCTTTGGAGGACGGCTAGGGTAAAGGGGCAACAGTAGCCATCCTGGGGATGAAAAATCCAGGATTCAGTGCCCACCAGACGGGTGGAGTAGACCAGCAAATGCTAGAGATGGGGGTGTGTGCTGGGGCACAGGAAGCTGTGCATGGAGAATGCTAGACCAGCCAGGAAGCCTCGACTTGGTTGTGTAGGAGGGTGTAGGGCAGGGGAATGGCCACCCAGACACAACGAGGAAGCCTCAGGAGCAAGCTGCTTGACCTCGCAGAGCCTTGTCTCTGTTTCTATCAAGAGGCTGATGGGAGACCCATAATAGTTACCAGTAGGCACAATCACGGCTGTTATGCGGTGCTCTGAGTTATTACCTCCTTAACCTGTGACCTTAAGCCAATCACTTCCCTTTTGGGCCCTAGGTTTTCCCCATCTGTAAGATGAGGTAAGGGGATGAGATTGGTGTCCTGACTTTTGTTGGTCCTGGGGTGCTCTTTGTAGACCAGTGCTTCTCTGCACAAAATCTGTGTTCTACTCTGGGGTTCACGGACTCTTGAAGTGCATTTAGGGACCAAGCAGGTGAAGTTCCCTGTGCTAGAGGCTAAAGGCCCTACCAACTGTCAACTGTTCCGATTTTGCTGTGATTTGCCTGCCTTTCCCACGGCCTAGATCGCTAGCAGCCCCTTGTTCAAGGCCGTGCTGCTGCTGCCTCTGCAAGATGTTCTGGGCCTCCACATTTGGTTAAAATGACAGTTCCTCCTCTCTGAGAAACTAAACCAGAAGAGTGAAGGCTGCTGGGAGTGGGTCAGAGCCTAAATGGTGACACCATGGTCCCCCAGGAAAGGCCTCTTCTTCATGCAGGGACTGTACCAATGTCCCCTAGCTTCTGCAGCCTTGGAGGGCTCAGTCCTGTCCAGACTGCTGGGTCCCCCAGGCCCCCCTGCTCCTGCCTGCCTGAGCCCCACTGTAAGCTGCTTAGGGGTTAATTAAGCCCAACCCTGAGCCTGTGATTAAAGGCCTCTCAATCTGGGACTGCCCAGTAAACCCATTAATAGTGCCTGGCAGGGGTGTGGAGAGTGGAAAAGGCCCAGCAATTTGGCTTCCTTGCTGCAGGCCACTGAATAGGGGCCTGGGCGGGGGTGAGGTGGGGGACAGGGCAGCGAGTAGAGCATAGGGGTGTGGCTATGGGGCCTAATTCTTCATAGGAATTGGGACTCCTGCTTCCCTGGGCTGCTTCTGCCTTCTCAAAAGTAAAGGAAGAACAGGAGCTAGCGTTTAAATGGAAGCTCTTGGAGCTTGTGTTTCCTCTTCTGTGCAAAGGTGATATGAGATGGAAAGGCTGAGTCTCAGCCCTTCCTTCAGGCCACCCTCTGTGCTCGCCTGGGGCTGGATGAGCTCCCGGCTTCAGAGATCTCAGGGCAGCTCTGTCCCTTCTCATTTGGTGGCCATTACACTTCCTACAGGCCTAGGACCTCTTCGCCCCTGCCTCTGAGGCCAGATTCACCCTCCTCCTTGCCTTTTCCTCCTCATGGGATCCCAGCCTTGGGCTCTACATGCTCCTTCCCCCAGCCTTCCCCATGGGTCAAGAGGATCATTGTCATTGGGGGTGGGGTGGGGGTGGTATGGGTGTATTCTTGTTGCAGAGACACCCCAACTCTACTTCTAGTAAAGGTGGAGGGGTCCTTTCCCTGAGGGCTGCGGTTGGGCTGAGAGACATGTAGGTGATGGCATGGGCTGAGAGCTGAGAGAACTTGTCCCTGGAGTCCCCAGGTGTGCATCCTTGCCCTCTGTTGCCAGTACCTGACTCGTTCCTTTCTTTGAATCCAGGGGGGATGTAGGCTGCTTTCAGGTGGAGCTGTCCCTTTAAATCTCTCTTGCATCCCAGGGTTAATGTCCTGGTGTGTAATCCCTCCTGTTGCCATGACAACCTGCTGCCACTCCTCAGGGGATTGCTGTTTAGTGGCAGGAGCGGTGCCTGGTGCGGTCTCAAGGGTACAGGTTTGAGAGTAATGGAGGCACTGGGCTGGCGTAACTGCCCTGCCTCTCCCTCCTGCCTACCCTTGTTTGCCCCTGCTGCAGAAACGCTCCCTTACCTGTTCCCTAATTCTAAGATGCCTGACTTGCCTACACTGTGGTCACCTCTTACCCAAAGGGAGGAGCTAAAATGGGAGATGGGGGAGGGGGAGAAGCTGCAGCTGCGAAGAGGGGTCCTGAGGTCTTGCGGTGCCCTTCCCAGCCACTGCTCCAGGTGAAGGACTGAGAGTGGTTCTCGGGGGCTTCCTTCGATCCTGAAGGGGTCACTATAAATGACACTGGGACTGGAGATGGGACATAGAGTAAAGGTCGGAGGGCACGGGGGTGGCGTGGGCGTGTGTTAGAGGACACACCCTCAGAAGAGAGGGGCGGGGACAAGGTGGGGCCAAGTCCCCACCCCCTTGGGTTTCCTGCAGCTGGGCTGTGAAGGATGTGAAGGATGTGAAGGGGCTGCACGCGTAACAACCCCCGCTTCTCTCTCTGCCTCCTCTTCCCCACTCCCACTGGCTGGTACTAAACCCAGAGGAATGGGGGGTGGATCGGGCCAGCGGTAGGACTCGGACTCTCTCTTTCCCACCACCCCGGCCTTTGGCCAATCAGGATGGGGGCCAGGGCAGCTCAGCCTTGCTATTGGCTAATCCTGCAGAGGGCGCTGCCCGAGTCCCGCCTCTACCAGCGCTGCCAGTCTCTGGCTCGGAAGGCGGTTCACAGCTCGAGTGAAGGCTGGTTTCTTACTCCCTGAGCCGCCCGCCGGGCATGGGGGGCAGCCATGGCGGGCAGCCCAGGTAGCGGGGTTTCCTTGGAGGGTATATCCCTGGTCTCCTCTGAGGAAGCGGACCTCCGGAGGAAAGGTAGGGAAAGGCGGGGCGGGAGGCTGAGGGGAAAGCTGGCCCGGCAGGGCTCGGGGGCATCTGGAGAGTGTGCCCTAGGCACGGGCTTCGGGGAGCCCAGGGGCCTGGCAGCATGGCCCGTCTGGAGAGCTGTCCCAGGCAGAGGGCGCCAACTCCCCCGGCTCCGTCCTTCCTCCTGGCTAGCAGGCTGGGGAGTCAGTATGTGAGGGTAGCTGGGCAAGCTGGACCCCGATACCCTGCAGAGTGGGAAGGGTTCATACCCTGGCCTCTTCCTGAGCCCACTAAGGGCCTTGTAGGTCTCTGACCAATGCCAAGCCCAGGCCTGGGCAGGAAGGGTCTGGGGGACAGGCTAGGATGTTGTTTCTGGAAAAGGTGGGGTGAAGGACGGTGTGGGGGGAGAGGGTGGGGGTCCAGAGCCCTTGAACCCGGCCTGCCAGCTCTAGTTTCAGCGCCCCCTCCTCCCCATCCCCATTCCTTCCGGGGGGGGGGGTCTGCTGACAAGAGCCCTAAGAGGTGCCAGCGACTGTATCCACCCCTCCTCCTCCATGGCTTGGGAGCTGTTAAGCAGATGTAGGCGTAGGTGGCAGTGTGGCAGATTAATGATACCCCCTGCCCATCTCTGCCTCCAGCTGGGCACACTCTGCTTCTCCTTTCCACCCCCAGAACCTGCCACAGCTGGAGCTCACTCCTCTGCTGGTGGGTGATTGTAATACCTGTCTCCGGTCTCAGCAGCCACTGCTGGGGACCAGCATCAGGTGTTCTCACGTCCCTGCTTATGGCCTGTCCCAGGCTGACTTGGTCTGACTTCTCCAGGCTGGTCCCTGTCTTCCCAGCTCTGCCAAAGTTCTGGGCCTCAGCTTTGGCTTCCTATGATCTGTATTAGTTTCTCGATGATTATAGATCATTGTCAAAACTGAAGGGCCTGTAGACACCATCTAATCCAACTCACCCATTATACAGGATGGAAAGGCTAAGGCCAGTTAGGGACAGTGACTTGAGTTAGTGGCACGGCTTGTAGTGGATGCTGTGTAAGCTCTGGCTTCCGACGTGGCTGTCTGCTTGACTCCAGGCCTGCTCTCGGGGACTCGCTCCAGCACTGTCTCTCTCATTCCCGAGTGCTTCAGATGCAGGTGGCTGCATCCTGGGGCTTCAGCCCATCCAGAGGTTGCGTGAGGAGCCTGTGGTTCTCTGGTTCAGGGCGGAATCTGGTGTCTGTTTCCCTTTCTCATCAGAGTCTGCTTCCTGCTGTCTGAAGCCTCCCCCTGCCCAGGCTGGCACTACCTAGGTAGGGCCTGTGAACAGGCCAAGGGAGCCCCCTGCTGGGGCCTCTGCCCCAGGCATTCCCATGCCTGGCAGGGAGGGAAGAGCTGCTGGGCAGGAGCTGTCTTCTGTGGGACATGTGTAGAGGGGTGGACCTGTTGTGGTGTGTGTTGGTCTCTTGTGCCCAGCTGGCACCTGTGTGTGTCTCACTGCCTGTCCCTTCCCCCCAGCCATGCAGCAAGTCTTGGACAACTTGGGATCCCTCCCCAATGCCACAGGGGCTGCAGAACTGGACCTGATCTTCCTTCGGGGCATTATGGAAAGTCCCATAGTAAGATCCCTGGCCAAGGTATAGTGCTCTCGGGAGGTGGGTACAAGGGCGTCTGGGGAGGCACACTGGGGGATGGGGTGTTAGCCACACTAGGCCCTGGGAATGGGGCAAGTGGCACAGGAGACCCCTGGAGGGGGGTATGCATGCACATCCATGACCAGATGCTGAATCTGAGTGACTCTAGGTAAGGGGGCTGTCCCAAGCATGGGTGGTGACTGTGAGGACATGCCTCTGTGGATGCCTTTTGGTGACTGCCAGGGCGGTGAGCATGCCTGTGTACTGGAATCTCCAGAGTTCATCCCACCTGTCACTCTGTTGTTGGGCATTTTGTGCAGATGTTTTTACAAGTTCAGGGGCCAGGCATCAGGTGGGGAAAAGACTCATTAAAAGAGAGTTGCCCTGGCTGGTGTAGCTCAGTGGATTGAGCATCAGCCTGGGAACCAAAGGGTCGCTGGTTTGATTCCCAGTCAGGGCACATGCCTGGGTTTCAGGCCAGGTCCCCAGTAGGGGGTGTGTGAGAGGCAATCACACATTGATGTTTCTCTCCCTCTCTTTCTCCTTCCCTTCCCCTCTCTCTAAAAATAAATAAAATCTTAAAAAAGAGAGAGAAAGTTATAGAACAATTGGTAGGGACGGATGCAGTAGACACTTGAGAGAGACCAGGGCAGAGAGAGGGAGGGGGCAGGTGAAAGATTTCCAAGGAGGCCAGTTCTGGAGGGTACCCTGACCGTCTGGGGTGTGGCTGCTGTGGACAGGAAGTCATGGAAGTGAAAGAGGTCCAGGAATGGAAGTCGTGGGTACAGGGCGGGTGGTCTGCACAGGCATTGGAATCTAGGGTTACTGCAGGCACAGAGGAGAGAGGGGAAGATGGAGCAGTCCCAGGGTCTTCAGTGAATGGTGGTCAGGGCGACCAGGAAGTCGGCAATGACGGCAATAGGGGGACAGAGATGGTGACATATGGGAGGTGGTGGGAGGGTGGCAGGCCTGCGCATGGGGTGTGGAAGGGGGCCGGGCCCCACTGGAGGGGAGAACTTCTGCAGGAGATGCTGGGTCCCTGGGTCACAGCCTGGTGAAATGTTAGGATCTGTGGAATGGCGAAGACTTGGGGAGGGTGTTCATAGGGAAGGTGAAAGGTGTGAGAGGCAGGGTTCATAGCCAGAGGGCCTGGGGAAGAGCACAATGAGGCCAGAGAAAGGCAGGTTGCTTTTCACTTAGTAGTCAGGGACTGTATTCATGCATTCAAAGTAAAAACACGGAATGATGCATATTTAAAGCAGGGAATGTGAGCTCTGTGAGGACGGGGATGCCTCTTTGGGTCTCTACTATGCCCTGAGAGCCGAGAACAGTGCCTGGCATGTAGTAGGTGCTCACTGAACCTTTGTCAAGTGGCTGAATACAGAAAAGTGTGGGAAATAACGCAGCAGATCCCTGAGTGCCCATCTGCCATATCTGCTTTAGCTACTGCTCTTTTTAAGGAATAAAAAGTATAACACAGGTAACACCTCTCCCGTCTTCCTTCTTTCTGCTGCTTTCCCTCCCCACACGTAACCTCCCCACACGTTGATGATGTTAGTGGATGATGTTATGCCCCTGAATTGCATATCTTGCCCATATATGTGTTTAGATGTAAACGGTATGCCCCTGTTATATGTTTTTAAACTTTACGTAATAGATGGAGAGTGTAAGCTGCTTGGGTTTTTGAGATTTCCAGTTCCCGCAAGTAGTGTGGTTGTCGACATGGGTACAGGTGTAGATCGATGCGTTTTAATCACTGTGTGGCGCTCCACCCTGGGGATGGGGCCCAGCATGTTTATCTGTCGGTCCCCACGCTCGAGGGCAGCCACGTGGTTGCTGATTTGCCTCTGGCAGGGACAGTGCTGCATGAGGACGTGCATGTCCTCGAGTCCACCTGCCTCTGCACGTGCAGAGGTTTCTCTAGGGCGGACCCTGGGCAATGGAATTGAATATATGTGTTTTGAGCCTCAACATCCGCAACCCGCCAAAGCTGATTTCAGAGTTGGATTATTCAGCCACGTCACCTCTGGGTGACTTTAGCTTCTGCTTCGACGGTGAGTGAGCTAATGAAATAAAGCGAGTCCCTCAGATGACAGAATCTCAGGGTTGAAGGTCCCGCAGCCAGCCCTCTCCAAAGCACAGTCCCCCTCAGGATCCTCCGTCTCCAGTGGCTGGAATCTAGGTGACAGCTCCCTGGGGGTGGGGTCACTGCATGGATTGCCCTGTCATCCACTGGGGCATATTCAGTTGCTCAGTCCTCCCTCTTCTAGTTCACAAACGTCTGTGGTGTGCTCACCGAGCACCGGGCACAGAGCTAGGGCTGCTGCGCTGAACCACTAGATGGTTTGTTCCCCACGTGATGGAGCCCAGGTCTGTCCTCTCCTCCCCGAGCCCCGCATTTTCCGGGTCCTGGACCCTCGCAGTACAGCCTGATGGAGAGGCCGCCACAGCACCGTGTCAGACTGTGAGTAAACGCCCCCGTCCTGTCTGAGCTCAGCAGGTCCCCGTCCCCGCAGGTGTGACCCTTTGCAACGTAACTCTGCCCCTTCTTGCACCACAAGGCAATCTTCACTCTTCAGTCGGCTTGGCTGTGTGACCTGCTTTGGATGATCGGACCTGCTTCTTGCTCCTCATCACCAGTTTTAATGATTATGTCTATAGTTGTATGTTTCTAAGCTAAGAGACAAAGTACTTTTATCCACGATTCAGTTGTGAAAACGTGGTTCTCCTGGCAAAATGGCCCAGAAACCCACAGGAGCAGAACCAAGGCAGAGCTGCAAATGGTAGCCATTAACCTTCTCCCTTGACCCTCAGGGAGATGGGCTTGCCTGTCCTCTCCTCTCTGGGGCTGTGGCAGACAGTGTGGGAGGTCCCAAGCTGGTTAGACCCGAGGCCAGAGAGGGGCAGGGCCTGAGGGACAAACCCAGAGAGCCAAAGGCTCGGGAAGGAAGTCCAATCTACCAGATGATAATCCCAGGGGTTTGGCTGCAGACAGCGGGCGCCGGCGGGTGATCAGCCTCTGGGAAGGCTGACACGGGTCCAGCAGCAGGTGTTCCAACAACAGGCAAGGCGAGGTGAGGGATCCAAGACAGGCGGCCTTGAGAAAATCAGGCAAACTTACCAGCAGGGCCAGCTGCCAGCTGGGAGGCCTATGAACTGATCCACATGGAGCAATTAAGAAGAAAGAACAGTGGGCTGAGAGTCAGGAGATTCGCCGGCTGGCCGTGTGACTAGCGTGCCTGACAGCTCCTGGGCTTCAGTTATTTCCGAGAGGTGGGGATAATGATGCCAGTCTCTCGGAGTCATGGTGGGGAGAGGTAGGGAGGTCACAGATGTGGAGGTGCCTTTGAAACCACAAAGAGCTGTCGTGTGGTCACAGCCATTGCACCGCAGCTCACAGGGAGGACGCTGCCCCCGTGGGGAGGCCAGGCTGCCAGAGGTGGCAAAGCACGACAGGGCCTTAGGAGAAGGGGAGCCCAGGGTGGGTCACGGAGAGACTCTGACCAGAGGACTGACGAGCAGAGGCTACAGTGGTGGGGACCCTCAGGTGTCAGTCAGCCTTTGCTGTGTGACAAACCACTCCAGTGCACAGTGGCCTAAAGCAGCCATGATTTATTTCTCACGATTTCGTGGGTTGGTTGGGGGGCAGTTTGGGGTCTGGGCTTGCTGAGTTGGGGCTGGGAGCTCCAGCACGGCCTCACTCACAGGTCTGCAATCTGGGCTGGGCGGCTGCAGCCTCTCGGATGGTGAGGTCTCTCACCCTTTAGGAGGGCGGCCCTGGCGTCTTTGCTGGCAGGCTCAGCAGCCAAGGAGGACAGGCTCCAAACCCCAAGCACTTTCCAAGCCTCTGCCTGCATCGCATTTGGTAATGTCCCACTGGCCAAAGCAAATCATAGGGTCAAACACAGACCGAAGGGTGAGTGACGTTACTTTCTGGCACACTGATGTCTGGCACGTCCTTTAGATTTTGGACAATTTAATTACGAGCCTAGGCTCTAATGAGAACTCCCTGTCTCCTGCCAAGATCAGAGAGGTCGGAGTGGGAGGGCAGAGGGGAAAGCCATCAAAGAATTGGCAGTGTGGCATCTCTGCATTTGCAGTTGGATTATGGTTCTAGATCCCTGGCTGGCAGACCTGAGTTCAAGTGCAGGCTCCACCATTAACTAGCTGTGAACCTGGCTGAGTTCTGGTCTGTAGTGAGCTTGAGCCCCTGCTGTGCTGAAGATGATTTCCAGAGCAGAATTCCACGAATGGTTACCATAGAAATTCAAAGCTACTCTGCTGGTTGTGGAGTCTGGTGCCTCGAACACCTCAGTGTGTGCTGTGCTGAGGACGTTGCCTTCTAAAAATAGGTGCCCGGTAGTGACATCGCAGCTGTGGGGGAGCTCAGAGAGTCAGGGGACTTTGGGGTCCCCAGTGTACAGGCCAAGGTGTATGCAGTTAAGGAATGTATTGTACCTATTGGAGTTCCAGATGCTTTACTGGGAAAATGACCTTAAATGTTACTAATCTCATAGGGTTGCTGTGACTTTTAAATGGGATAATATTTTGCAAATGCGATGCTTCATCATCGGACTTGCGTATGCCCCATGACCCAGCGGTTCTGTTCCTGGGAGACACTCGTGTGCGCACCTGCAGACACAGGCGGGAGTGTGCGTAGCAGCATCGTGCCCAAGGGCAAAGACCTGAGCCGACCCGGAGGCCTCCCCCAGAGGGAGCAGCTGCATGAAATGCGGTGTGGCCACACAGTGGAGTACAACACGCCAGTGAAGATGGACTAATGTGACTCGGGAGAAAGGAATGAATCACAGCAAACTAATGTTATGTGAAAAATAGCACTAAGTGAAATGCACGGGTGGGAAAAGGCAGGTGTGCGGCGGTTTGTGTGGAGAAAGACGTGCAGGTCAGGACTGTGACGGTGGTTTATTACCGCCGAAGAATGTCAGTGACACACTGCCCTTGGGTGCAGTCTTGTGAGTGCTCAGATTGCCAGACTTTGTTTTTATTTTTTAAGATGTTATTTATTTTCGGAGAGAGAGGAAGGGAGGGAGAAGGAGAGGGAGGTAAACACAGAAGCGGAGTAGGGTGGGGGTGGGGCAGAGAATATTAATTGGTTGCCTCTCACCGGCCCCCAGCTGGGGACCCAGCCGCTGCCTGAAACCAGGCCTGTGCCCTGACAGGGAATCAAACTGGTGACCTTCCAGTTCGCAGGCTGGCACTCAATCCACTGAGCCACACGAGCCAGGGCCCAGCCTTCCTTATGTACACGTTCTTGTAGTCTGCTGTCTCTTTATGTGGAAAAGGAGAGTACATTTTAGCAAAGTAGTAAGTGAAATATTTTAATATTAACCGAAAAATATATGCAGTGAAAAAATTAATATTAAGTGAAAATATATTAATTTAAATAATGTTAGGTGAAGAAAATCTGACCCCCCAGGGATTATATATAGCATAATTCCCCCTTTTTAAGGGTAAAAATAACCACAAGCAATAGTCACTTTAGGAATATGTAGAAAACACGTAGATACAATAAGACCATGTAAGATGGGGAGCCAGATCACGGGGAACACGGGGACCCAAGGCAGGGGTTTCTGTGGGGGATTTGGTGGGGGGTGGAGCATGTGGTTAAATGTAGGAAAGTGTCAAGATCCTTATTTATGTTTGAGTGGTGGGTTCTTAGCTCCTTGTTACAAAAATATCTAATTTAACACCAACTCACTAAAAGGAAGTCAGTACAAACCAATGATGAGAATGTATCTTCAACCAAGGATATGATGAATCCAATTCTGAGTTTCCAGAGTCCCAGAAATGTCGTGAATTGTGATGCAGATTGGGTGTTCTCAGCGCTGGTCAATCAGCTGTTTTGATCGGCCTGCTATAGTGTTTCTTTTGTATTCGAATGATTAAATGTTTAAAGTTTCCTCTGGGCCAGGAAGGTTGAGCTTGGAGGGCTGAGGTTTTGTATCTGTGGGTAAGAGGTCCAGGGGCAGCCTCAGGAGGTGGGTAAGAGGTCCAGGGGCAGCCTCAGCCTGGGGGAGGGGTCGTTAAATCGAAGATGGGAGGTAAGTGGCTTGGGAGATGCCCGGGCTTCCTGAGTGGCCAGGTGAGGGCTTCTAGGGAAACCTGTCCTCCCCACCAATGGAGCAGAAGATGCCAAAGCTAAAACGGGTGACCTGTGTGCTCACGTCCTGTCACCTGGGCCAGCGTTAGCTCCTTTATCCTGAAAAAGCCTAGCCGGGGTCACTGTAGTGACACAGTTCCATACCTGAGTGCCTTTCTTCACTCTTAAAGCACAGTTACCGGGACCCTGGACCCCAGCATTGACCTAGAAGCTCCGTGGGCTGGGCTGAGCTAATGACTGAGGATCCCATCGGGGTTGGAGGAAGCTTTCTGGGAACGGCCCTGCCCTCTGACTTCTGAGGAGCACCATGGCACAGCGGTGTCTGTTTTTCCCGAAGGAGCACTCTGCACAGCCAGGCTGTGGGAGTCAGGCTGGAGTGCTGCCCACCTGCGGGGAGATGGTTTCGGTGACAGAGGGGCCGACATGCTTCCCCATGTGGGATGCTGGTGCCCTGGCCTCTTTTGGGAAGAGAAGCCAGAGAGGAGCTAGCCTTTATTGAGCACCTGCTGTATATATGGCACTGTGTCCATCGTTCCAAATCTGGAGTCCAAATCCTTATGAGGTGTTATTAAAACCTCCCTATCTCTTGGGCTTGAAAATTCTGGACATTTATTTATTTAAATTTTTAAAAAAGATTTTATTTATTTATTTTTAGAGAGAAGGGAAAGGAAGGAGAAAGAGAGTAAGAGAAACATCAATGTGTGGTTGTCTCTTATGCACCCCCTACTGGGGACCTGGCCCACAACCCTGGCAGGTGCCCTGACTGGGGATCGAACTGGCAACCCTTTGGTTCACAGGCTGGCACTCAACCCACTGAGCCACACCAGCCAGAACCTATTATGAAAATTTTAAAAAATGTCTCCTGAACCCCCATTATCCATTGTTCCCCTTCAACAGTTAATAACTTATGAACAATCTGGTTTTATCCATACCTCTCCCTACTTCCCTCTATCCTGAATTATTCTGAGGCAAATCTCAGATATAATTTTATCTGTATTTTAGTGTATATAGCTAAAACACAAAGATTCTTTGAAAAGTAATCACACTACCATTAGCACACATAGAAAATCAAACAATAATTTTCTTATGGATTTTTTGTTCATAAGCATTTTTTAAATCTTTACCTGGGGGCAGGCTTATTGATTTCAGAGGGAGAGAGAGGGAGAGAAATATTGATGTGAGAGAGGAACACCAATTGGCTGCCTCTTGTCCACGCCCCAACCTGGGACTGAACCTAACACCCAGGTATGTGCCCTGACTGGGAATTGAACTCCTGACCCTTTGGTCTATGGGACGATGCTTCAACCAACTGAGCCACACTGGCCAGGGCTTCATAAGCATTTAAAAAATTTTTATTTTCAAGTGCAGTTTACATTCAATATGATTTTGTATTAGTTTCAGGTGTACAGCATAGCGGTTAGACAATCACATACTTTACAAAGTGATCCCCCTGATATTTCAAGTGCCCCTGACATCATACAGCAACACTAGTACTGACTGTCTTCCCCAGGCTGTACCTTACATTCCCGTGACTATTTTGTAATGGCCAATTTGTACTTTTTAATCCCTTAGCCTTTGTCACCCAGCCCTGCAACCCCCCCTGATGGGTTTTTAACAAGTGGTGCAGGACACCTGGGGTAGATGCATAGTTCACACGACGTATCAGAATCAACTCCAAGCAGATCGGAGACCTGAATGTGAAACAATAAACCCTAACGTCCTAGAAGAAAACATGGATCCGTGGTGGGGGGAAGCCTTTTAAAAAAACTATGCCTCAAAATTCAGAGGCATAGAATATTAATCAACTTAACCGTATTAGATATGTATATTTTTTGCATTGACAAAAAGCCATAACAGAGTCAACAGACAAATGACCACCAGGGGGCAGTATCTACAAGCGATATCACAGAGAAAGGGGCACATCTTCCTGACCTAGAGCTCGTTCAAAAAATGGGAAAAGAGAGCAAATCAAGACCTGATAGAAAAACGGGCAGAAGACACAGATAATTCACAGAAAACAACACACAGTTGGCCCTTAAATATGTGAAGAGAATGCTCGGCTTCTTTCAGTAAGCAAAACGCAGAGTAAGCCCCACAGGGAGATCACTGCTGGTCCCCGGGATTGGCAGACATTTCAAGGTTTGGTCACAACTCTGGTCGCAAGGCTTCCGGGAGGTCTCTCTCTCACCCAGTGCTCGGGGGACAGCAAAGCAGCCCCAGTGCCACAGAGGGGAGCCAGCAAATCCTTACTGCTGGACCCAGCAAGGACTCTGGGTATTCACCTGAAAGGTCTGTCTCCTCCGCAGGTTCGGGGCAGCTGTGCCACGGCACTCCCCGCAGCTGTATGTACAACAGTAAAACATTATTAGAACGTTAGAACAGCCTATCTCCTTGTGGAGACCGACTGAGTAAACAATGGCACTCCAGACATACAAGAAGTCAAATGCAGTGATTAAAATAAAAAGTAACAGTGATAATAAAGGAAAATCTCCACGTGGTAGCACAGAGTGATTTCCAGGGTGTAAGGTAAAAACCTAATCATGACTTAAACCAATTAAACAAGCAAAATCCCCAAGGTATCAAAGAGTGTATATAGTATTCTACCACTTATGTAAGAGTCTAAATTATTATTATTTGACCCTTACACAATTATTCATTATGTACGGGTCAAAATTAGGATTTGGGGGAGGTGAGAGGCCTGGGGGATGGGGGGTCTGTGTGGCGCCCCGGCCCTGGGGAAGCATCAGCTCCTTCCTGTCCCCCCACCCCCACCCCCAGGCCCATGAGAGGCTGGAGGAGACGAAGCTGGAGGCCGTCCGGGACAACAACCTGGAGCTGGTGCAGGAGATCCTGCGGGACCTGGCGCAGCTGGCGGAGAGGAGCAGCACGGCCGCCGAGCTGGCCCGCATCCTCCAGGAGCCCCACTTTCAGGTCTCCTCCCGGCTGGGGTGGCCCCTGGGGCAGGACACTGGGCGAGGGGCCGGCAGGAAGTTGGAGGTGGGATGGGAAGGCCACGCAGGGCACTGCTCCACGGTCCCTCCCCATCCCACCACCTCCCCAGTCTCTCCTGGAGACGCACGACTCTGTGGCCTCCAAGACCTACGAGACACCACCCCCCAGCCCCGGCCTGGACCCCACGTTCAGCAACCAGCCGGTGCCCCCCGACGCCGTGCGCATGGTGGGCATCCGCAAGACCGCTGGAGAACATCTGGTGAGGGTGCCGGGCAGGACCGGGGGCAGGGTATGGGAGGGGTGGGGAGGGAGAGTAACCAGCAGGGGTCAGATGCGGTGTGGAGAGGGCTGAAGACGAAGGTGGGTTCAGCTTTGCCCAGACTGGCCGTGGCAGACCCAGGAGACGGCAGGAGCCGTGCAAATGAGCTGCGTACGCACATGTACCAGAACACTCTTCATTCTGCCCACTTCCCCTCCTTTAGCGCTCCTGTAAGTGAAGAATCGGGCAGAGATGGAAGAGGAGGAGTCTGTGAGGGTGGGGTGGGGGCGTGGCATGGAAATGGGGGTGATCCCGTTCAAAGATTCTGACGTAGGGCGGTTGGGGCCTTCTCTTACGCCCCCCCCCGCCCCCTAGGGAGTGACGTTCCGCGTGGAGGGTGGTGAACTGGTGATCGCGCGCATTCTGCACGGGGGCATGGTGGCTCAGCAAGGCCTGTTGCATGTGGGCGACATCATCAAAGAGGTGAATGGGCAGCCAGTGGGCAGCGACCCCCGCGCGCTGCAGGAGCTCCTGCGCAGTGCCAGCGGCAGCGTCATCCTCAAGATCCTGCCCAGCTACCAGGAGCCCCATCTGCCCCGCCAGGTGAGTCCCTCCTCCAAGGTCCCCGTCCAGCACAAGGCCCACTGGCTTGGTAGCTGAACCTCCTGGCTGTCAGGGTCACAGGCTTCAGGGTGGGAGCAATTCTTCTACCAGCTCTGAAAAGCAAGATGGGGGTGGGGCCTGCCGCTGGGGGTGGAATCGCAGGTGTCCCAGCCCACCTACGGCTTGTACGCATTTGCCTTGGGCTTGGGCGCTCTTGCGCATGTGCAAGTGTGTGTGTGTGTGTGTGTGTGTGTGTGTGTGTGTGTGTGTGCGCATTCAAGGCCAGTGGCACCTGAGTGCATTATGTGTAGCTGTCTGCGTGCCTGCGTGTCCGTGGGTGTACAGGGTCAGATTGCCGGGTGTACTGTGCAGCTGTCTCCTGGTTGTTCAATTGCGGCTGTCTGGCTGCTTTGTCCACTTCTGTTGGCTCGCCAGGGCCCCTTCCTCCGAAGGACAAGGGTGCATGGATGGAGGGATTCCGAATGAGGTGTCAGGGTTTCCTACTTTCCCCGCCTCCTCGGTGGGTGGGGCCAGGGCCTCCAGGCCTGATCAGATTCCCATTCTTCTGATTGAGTCCTTTCGTTCTAGTTGCAAAGAGAGGCCGGTTTGGGGAGGCAGCCAGGCAGGCCTGAGGGCACCACGCCTTTAAAGGGACAGTGCCTGGGCCTCTCACCTTAGAGAAGGGGCAGAGGGTGGACTGTAGAACCCTCCCTCCGCCGTGCCTGGGGGCTGCGGGGTGGGGGGTGGGAGAGGGCTCACCCACTCTAGCCTTGCCCTGCTCCTTCCCTTGACTCTTCCCGGATGTCCGGTCTAGGTATTTGTGAAGTGCCACTTCGACTATGACCCGGCCCGAGACAGCCTCATCCCCTGCAAGGAGGCGGGTCTGCGCTTCAACGCCGGGGACTTGCTCCAGATTGTAAACCAGGATGATGCCAACTGGTGGCAGGTGAGCCCTGGGTGTCCATGCAGTCTCTCCAGGTATGGTGGGTGGGGGAGGGGCCCTCTTGCTGAGACCGAGCTCTGCCCTTGTCCATCTGAGGCGTGCCATGTGGGAGGAGGCAGTGCCGGGCTCATCCCAAGTCAGCTTCTGGAGGAGAAGCGGAAAGCCTTTGTCAAGCGGGACCTGGAGCTGACGCCCACCTCAGGTATAAGCCGCCCCCCCCCCCCCCCGGCCAATCTGGGATCTGACTGCGTCCCAGCCTGGCCTCACTCACCAATCTCTCTATGGCCAGGGACCCTCTGCGGTAGCCTTTCAGGAAAGAAAAAGAAGCGGATGATGTATTTGACCACCAAGAATGCAGGTGGGTGTTGGAAGCCTCCTCCCCCTCCCCCCTAACATGACACATCCCCTCTCTGCCCTCACCTGTACGTGAGCTCTCCTTGTTCCGACGCTGCCAGTCTTGTCCCTACGCCCTCCCTGCCCAGTTCCTTCCTGCTGCCCCTGGCCCGTGAGAACCCAGCCCTACCCCTTTCACCTGATGAGCAGCCCGATGAGCAGTGCCATCTCTCCGTGTCCAGAGTTTGACCGCCACGAGCTGCTCATTTATGAGGAGGTGGCCCGCATGCCCCCATTCCGCCGGAAAACCCTGGTGCTGATCGGGGCTCAGGGTGTGGGTCGGCGCAGCCTGAAGAACAAGCTCATCATGTGGGATCCAGACCGCTATGGCACCACGGTGCCCTGTGAGTGGGTGCTGGGCCCTGCTGGGTGGGGGGCAGGAATCTGGGATGCCCTGGGGACCAGCGCTGGTCCACTGAAGGGCCATATGCATGGGCACCATCTCAAGTAGCACTTTTGGATGAGAGGTGTGGGACAAGCGCCCTCTGAGGGCTGGTGGGGGAATTGCAGGCTGGGGGAGCTGTCCCTTAAGCCTGTGGCCGGCCAGGCAGGCTGAGCTAGCCCTGCCTTTCCTTCTCACATGTTTTACTTGCTACACGCCCAGCTGGGCATCCGTGTGAAACAGGGCTATGAGCTGTGCGTGACCTGGGAAAGACGGGGCTTCTTGGGGACAGAACCTGTTGGGGTAGTGGAAGCTCCTGCTTCCCAGAGGCAGGAGGCTGAGTGCTGACCCCCAGGTCAGCTGGGCCTTGCTGTGTGGCCACCCCATCTGTGAGCCCTGGGTTGGGGCAGTGACCTCTGCAGTGTCTCCTGATATCGATGTCTAAAGTCTCGTGTGTGTGTCAGTGGTGAGGGCGAGGGCACGGTGTGGGGGGTGGGGGGAAGGCAGGCCGCACCCCCAGGCCTGTGTGACACGTAGAACTCGTGCACGTGTGCCTGAGGTACAGTGGCCTGCCCGTGCTCATTCGGCCTTGCATCCCTGCAGACACATCCCGGCGGCCCAAGGACTCAGAGCGGGAAGGCCAGGGTTACAGCTTTGTGTCCCGAGCAGAGATGGAGGCTGACATCCGTGCTGGGCGCTACCTGGAACATGGTGAATACGAGGGCAACCTCTATGGCACACGTATCGATTCCATCCGGGGTGTGGTGGCTGCCGGCAAGGTGTGCGTGCTGGATGTCAACCCCCAGGTACCGTCCGGCCCGCTCTTCCCCAGCCTGCCCAGTGTCCCCTCTGGGTGCTCTGACTCCCTCAGTACTCCTCCTGGTATTTCCAGCCACATGACTCCCAAGCACCCCCATGTAGCCCCTCAGTTACTGCTAGGGCCCAAGCCCCCGGACCCTCTTTTTCAGCCTCCCAGACCGCCTACACCTCTAGTCCCCCCCATTTATCCCATCCCCAGGCACATGCCAGCTGCTCTGCTAGTATTTGTCTCCAGGACTGAAGTCCCAGAACCCTGGGTACCTGTCCCCATCCCCATCACCCCGGATGTAAGTGGGGATGTACTTACTCCTTGACCCTTCTCTCCGTCTGCAGGCGGTGAAGGTGCTGAGAACGGCTGAGTTTGTCCCATACGTGGTGTTCATTGAGGCCCCCGACTTTGAGACTCTTCGGGCCATGAACCGGGCTGCACTGGAGAGTGGGGTGTCCACCAAGCAGCTCACGGTGAGGGGCTCTGAGGTGCAGTGGGTGGGGTCTGGTGGCTGCCTGGGGTGGGAGGGGCCAGGCTGGCTGATGAAGAGATGGGAGTGTCAGGGAAGGGGAGAGGCACCCACCCAGGGTACCCGTGAGGGAGGACTTGAGGTTCCAACTGTGTAGCTGCAGAAATGGTGATCTGAGCAAGGAAGTGAAGGGCTCAGATTCTCAGAGTCGGGGACACAGCAAGCCAGAGGTGCAGGAGCTTCTGTCAGGCCCACTGCTCCGTCCACTCTGTGGGGACAGAGTGCTGACTGAAGGAAGCCCAAGGGCCAGTGGGAGACCTGTAGGCAGAGGCAGGCTGGGTGGGGTCAGGGCTGTTTACAGCTGGGGGAAAGGCTGAGGAAGAGAGGGAGACAGAGGCTGGTGGGCTGCTAGAGGGATGAGTTAGCTTTAGGGAGAAGGCAGTGCTGGGAGGAGAGGCTTCAAGTCAGGTGTTGCAAGACTCCAGGGTACCCCCCTCCTCCTAGGAACCCCTTGGAGCAGCCTTCCCCAAGAGGTACAGGGTTTGCAGAACTCTGGGCTCAGGTGCCCTCTGCTGGCCATACCCGGTACTGCAGCTCCCAGGGCCCCGATGGCAGCGTTGCTCAGGCCTTGCAGAGGCTGTTTGCACTGGGCCCCCCTCTGCAGCATGCGCCCTCGGCCTGGTGCTGCTGGACACGGTTTGGCAAGCCCGAGCTCCTGCCTGGGCTTATTTAAGTCAGTGTTCAAGTCCTCTTCCCACCCCTGCCTGACCAGCTTGGACTGGGTCTGGGGCGGGGGTTGCCTCGGACACTTGTGGGTTGCCCTAGTGTGGCCCGTGTCTCTCAGGCTGCCTAGGCATGGGCGCCTAGTCAGACTGGAGGGAGCACTGGCTTTGGAGTCAGGCAGACTCTGTCTGACTGGCCGGCTGTGTGGACTCTTTGTCCCTCAGTTAAATGGGGGTAGTTAGTCCTGCCTTGCAGAGCTGCAGTGGAGCTTACATGGGTTGTAAGGAGGGTAGCGCCATGTTTGGCACTTCCTGCAGGCTATTTCCTTCCTTTTACCTGCCTGTCTGTCCATCCATGGTTGTGGAAGAGCCACCTTGGGACATGTGGCCAGGGAGCCTGCACCCACCATGGCTGGGCTTTGGGGAGGGGGAGAGGTGGGGCAGGCTGCAGACCCCCGATGATGGGGGCCAGTGGGGGACACTGACCGGCGGGAGGTCCCCTCATGTGAGCAGGAGGCGGACCTGAGGCGGACGGTGGAGGAGAGCAGCCGCATCCAGAGAGGCTACGGGCACTACTTCGACCTCAGCCTGGTCAACAGCAACCTGGAGAGGACCTTCCGGGAGCTCCAGGCCGCCATGGAGAAGCTGCGAACAGAGCCCCAGTGGGTGCCTGTCAGCTGGGTGTACTGAGCCTGCTCGGCTGGACCTTGTCCCCTCCGGGCTGTGACCCAGGAAACTGAATCCATCCCTTCCCCAACCATGACCCTCAGCCGTGATCCTTAGCTCCAGCTCCTGGCACTCTGGCTCCCTGGGTAGCAGCTTCCAGCAGGCCCTACGTCTGGCTTCGGCGCAGAGGCGAGCACTGCCAGGGAGGTGGGTGTTCATGGGGTACCTCTGTGCCCAGGTGCTGCCCCCTCCTGATGCCCATCGGCCACCAGATACTCCTCTCTGAGGGCCAAGCTGTGCCCACCAGTGTGTCAGAATCACCTCCACAAGGCTTCGTCCAGAGAAGAGCTGCTCTGGGATGATGTGACCAGTAGGAAGACAGCCCCTGCCACCTCTCCCCAGTCACCTCTTCTCCTCTGGCCACACCCACCCCATTCCTGAGCCCCTCCCCACTCTCACCTCTGTGTCCTGGGAGCAGGACTTGGGCTTTTTCTGTGTGGCCCAGGGAGCGCAAGGCCTGGGCGGTGGGACCAGTCCGGTGCCATCCTGAAGGCTGCAGGGGCCAGCGCGAGAGCTAGTTGTCCCTGTCTGGGAAGAGTGTGGCTCTCTGTCCCCGAGGAATGAGGTGGAGTCCCGTGTGTGGGCACTGCCCTGTGGTTCCCTCACCCACAGCTTCTCACTGCCGAGGTCTCTCCGCAGACTTCTCTGACTGCCCCTGACAGGGCAGCCCTGCTCTCTGCAGGGCGAGGCCAGCAGGGGCGAGTGGGCCAGCCCGGTCAGGGTGGGTGGTGGCTGAGCCCTGAGAGCAGGGGCCTGCCACTGCCGACCGAAGAACCCCAAGCTCTCCATGGCCCAGGGTGAGGACACATCTGGGCTCCCTGTCCATGACCATGGTCCATTTCGGTCTTTCCTCTGGCCGGGTCTGCGTGGTTCACTAGCACCCAGATGGCTGAGGGGCTGAGGAAGGCTGAGGAGGGGAGCTTGTGAGCATGGGGCATGGAGTGCTCTGGCAGGCCCCTTGTTGCCCGATTCCAGGGGGTGCCATCTGTGCCGTTTCTGTGCAGTTTATGGCCCACACCCAGCACACCTTGCCTGGGATTGGGCCACTGGTATATGTGTGTGCAGCCTTGGCTTTTAGAGAGAAGCTTTGGAGGTCACTCTTTGGGGCCCCCTTTTCAGGGTTCCCTGTCAGTGCCCATGTCTTATGAGACCCTCTTTGCAGATTCTAGAGCCCTGGCCCTCCCACATGTCTTGCTCCAGCTGTTCTGTTGTCTCCTGACCCTAAGGGCACTCCCGGTCCTTGGGGAGGGCAATTGTGTAAAATAGGGGAATCCCTTTTAAGAAAAGAACGCTGTCCTCAGCTTCCCGGGCATCTCATCCCTTGTCCTTCTTGTGGTCCTTCTTGGGGTGAGCCTTTCCTTGCAGGGGGCCGCCCCAGCCCCTGTGCTCCCCATCCTGCCGAATGTCTGATCAGTGTCCGCTGCAGAGTCAGCCCACGCTGGCCCCCGAACCACTGTGTGCCCATTTCCTAGGGAAAGGGAGGGAGAAGAGACAGAATATTTATTACAAAGTTAGAAATATATTTATTATATTAGGGATCTCATTGCATTTGCATGGGGCATGCAAATGAGACGTGAAAGTCAAGACTGCTCCCGTCTCATTTGCATAGCTCTGCATCCACTTTATATTCCTCTTTTCCCTTTAGTCCGCCTTCTTTTTATCTTTAGTTCAGCTCTTACATCACCTTCACCCGAGGGCACTGGGATCTGGAGGAAAATGGGGTGTTCGTGGGCCTGTGGCCATGATGCCTTTGCGAGTTCCCACCTCATTGGGGGGACTCTGGAGGGGAGGTCGCAAAGGGGATGATGGTATTGCCGCCTTCCGCTTGCCCTCAGTTAACCTCCAAAGCCCTCTGACCAGCAGACGGGGGTCAGGGGGCCTGGGTACCCTGCAGGGGAGTTGGCATGTGGCCCTTTAGGGTAAATCTCTACTGTCGATGCTCATCGTCACCCATCGGCACCTCTAGCGATGCCCTCTAGTGATGCCTGGGCCCCTCTCCTGTGTCCATCCCTCTGAGCAGTGGGCCGCCTCCCCTGGATAAGCCCCGCCCCCGGGGAACAGACACGTGTGCCCACCAACTGAGCTCTGACTCTGTCCTTCCTCCTCCTACCGTGGACACTTATATTTGAGTGTGTCCCCCACTGTCCACACTCGGTCTGAGCCCGGCTGCCCTTCCCTTCCCCCCTCCCTCAGCCATCTAGCTTCCGAGCTTTCTCTCTGACTGGTTTTCTTTCTTTTTCCTTTGATTAAATGTGAAAGCAAAGGCTTCTGGGCTGTCTGTCTTTGGTTGGGGTTGAGTGGAGGATGCTTTAGAGGGTGAAAGCAGGGAGCACAGCGCAGTTGATTCCCGAATGGGTTCTGAGCGACAAGTCTTGTGTTTCGCCGTGTCTTCTGGGAGTTCCATCCTCAGAAGATGCTTTTCCTCAATGACTGTATCCAGTAGTCGGGGAGTATTTGTGAGGATGGGAGACTCAGGGACTCCATGGCTAACCCACTCAACTTCACCTGCAACTTGCTGTGTGTTCTTCAGCAGGTGGCTCTGCTTCTCTGGGCCTTGGCAAGCTTTTTTTTTTTTTTTTTTTTGGTATAAATTGGAGAACCCATGTGGTCCAGTTAAGATGGGCAGGTCTGCTGCTTTTGCACAGACTCGGGACCCACACTCAGATCTCTGAGGCACCGCTCCCAGCTGCCAGTGCGGGGTGCCTGCCATATTCTTGGGGTGCTGCACGTGAAGAGTACTTCCCTCTTACTTGAGAGGTACCCCAAAGCACACCACACCCCCTCGGGCTCTTAGGGGCTTCCCACCTTCTCTGCTTCTGTTTTCTCCTCCCCTCTGAGCCAGGGCCCCCTGGAGGTACTGGGGGAATCTCCTCAGTGAACCTCAGTCATAAAATCCAATGGTCATCCAATGGGTTAGGGTCATAAAATCCAACGGTCACAGGGTAGGGAAGGGAAGGGAAGGGACAGCTCAGCTCATTCATTTTTTTTTCTCTTTTGGTATTAAAATGCTTTGTTTTAAGAAACATGATTATTTTGTTGAAGTCCCAATTTTGCAAAACTAAACATTAGCAACTCTTGAATGTTTCCCTCATTTTTTTCCCTGACGTTTTACCTCTCAGTGAGTCCCCAAACCAGAAACCCTGGCTCTCAGGATGGGTGAGCAGTGACTTTGTTTGAGGGGAGTGACCCGTCTGATGTGTCTACAAAGATCGCAGAGCTGAGCGTCCTGGTGCACAGATGTAATACCGATGTGTGGGACACGGGCGGTTGCAGAGTAGCAACCGGAAGGGCGTGGTCTTGCTTCCTTGTTGGGAGGGCCGAGCTGGGGAGCTGCGTGGTGGTGCCGGGAATTAGGGGCGTGTGTCAGCGTGTAGGTTACTTGAGTGGTAAATCCACAGAGGCTTGGAATCCCATGGTTTCCTTGGAGAGAGCTCGGCCACGGAAGACAATCCGTTCAGTGGGCACATGGTCTCAGAGTGGGCAAGGGGTGGGACTGGGGTGACCCGGCTGCCCTTGGTGGCGGGTGAGGAGGAGAGGCGAGTAGGGCTCTGTCCCTTCTGGCCAACCCCAGTTCTCACTAGCCTCCAGCTTCGGGATTTCTCAAGAGGGAAGTCTGCTCTGGGTGAATTTTTGGGGGGGTCTCCCTGAGACCATTGGAAACTTTCTGCTTCCTACCTCCCCACAATATCTGGACACACTGTACCTGGATCTGGGACCCCCTGTTCACCTGGAGAAGGTGAGTCGTGCTTGCCTTCCCCCGGGGCCTCGGGCGCTGGCTGGCACCTTCCCGCGTGTTCCCCTCGCTCCATCAGCCCGGCTCCTCCACGCCCAGCGCCCCGCCCCCGCCCTCCAGGATCTCCCTGCAGGGGTGCTCGGAGTGCTTTTGCCACTGCTCCAAACTGAGTCCAAATGCTCAGTTACCAGCCAAAAGACAAGTCCAAGGTGATTGTATGAGAAGGATCTTTATTGGAAGCCAGCAAGCCAGGGATTGCTCTCAGAATGTGGGCCCCTGAACAAAGTGCCGATGCATCTTTATTGGGGGGAATCGTGCGTAAACGTCAAGGTGGGTTTCGTCATTGCAGGTATATGGGGGCCATTTCGGTGCATGCGCAGCGCAGTTAGGAAACAGCTGTATATACATCGCCTGTTCAAAAATGCTGGCAGATCTCCCCCGAGGTGGAGATTTTAGTATCATATGATGAGGAGGTGCCTAGAGGGCCCTTCAAGCTCGTTAGCCCCCTGGTCCTTCAACGCATCCTGGTTCTGAAAAACCATTCTGGCGATCCTCAACGTCGGGGCTGCGGTTGTTATGGAAGGAATTTTAGCTAATTACACCTTTCTTGGTCTTCTGTGAAACTTTTGGCAAATTATAAGATACACATTATACAAGCTTTATAAATTCTAGGGAGATTCTAGGATTACCTCAAGGCAAAGCTACAAACTCTACAGCCAAGGTTGGGCTAGCCCTGGCCAGGTGGCTCAGTAGGTGGGGGCGTCATGCTGCAACACCAAAAGTTCGCCGGTTCGATACCTGGTGGGGGCACGTTTGGCAGGCAATCGATAGATGTCTCCCTTCCTCTCTCTCTAAAATCAATACATGTGTACTCTGGTGAGCATTTTTTAAAAAAGGTTAATCTATGCTAGCCTACCCGCTGGGCTACATATATTGTAGGTTAGGTTAAGTTACAGTTTCTCCCGCCACACCCCCAGGGATGGAGACGACTTCAAGAAATGCTGGTTGTCAGGAGATGCACAAAAGGCAACCATACATTGATGTTCCTCTCCCTCTCTCCTTCCCTTCCCCTCTGAAGATAAATAAATAAAATCTTAAAAAAAAAAAGAAAGAAAGAAATGCTGGTTGTGAGGCCCTGGTCGGTAATGACATTGATTCTGCTTTTCAGAAAGCTGTGCTAAACAACAACAAAGAAAAGTTAACTTCCACAGCTGAACACCTTTTTTTTTTAAGAAAGGATTTTGGGGCCATATTTCTAGTCAGAAAGGGACCGGGTCCTGAAGCGTGAGGTCTAAACCTCCCGCCGCGTGGACTGGTGGAGAAGGCACCACGTGCGCCCTCCTGACGTTGATGGCTTGCTTGTGTATTAGGTTTTAGGGAAGAAATGTAATTTGTTTGGAAAGAATTTACAGGGGCTACCGATAAGGCGAAGCAGGGGCAGTTCTGTGACAGGAGCACATGGTGGGGAAGGAAGGGACATTTGCCCCCTTTACTGGTTACAGGCCCTGGGCCTGCGGGCTCACGCCCCGTCACAGGTGAGGTTGGTGAGCTGCTGGATGCCTGCGGGTTGACCCAAAGCTCCAACAGGCATTCAGGAATGTCAGCCGTCTCTTGTCAGCCGGCTCACAGTGATTAACTGGTTAGTTAGTTAGCCAGTATAATGATTAATTGGTTAATTATTCCTGTCACTTTTGCTCCCTCTCCGGCCCACTATAATTCAATTTAGAACATCTCAGAATTGCTCTTTCGCCAGCTGTTTAGCAATGGGTCTCAGCAACTTCAAAAACATTCACACCCTATGACCTGGCACTTTCACATACGTAAGTCCGTCTTAAAGAAATCTCCAAATGCGGCCCTGGCTGGTGTGGCTCAGTGGACTGAGTGCCAGCGGCGAACAGAAAGGTCACTGCTTCGATTCCCAGTCAGGGCATGTGCCTGGGTTGCGGGCCAGGTCCCCCGTTGGGGGCGCGTGAGAGGCAACCCATCGATGTATCTCACATGTCAGTGTTTTTCTCCTTCTCTTTCTACCCCTCTTCCCCCTCTAAAAGTAAATAAATAAAATCTTAAAAATAAAGCAATCTCCATATGCGAATAAAGCCTTGTGCAAAGATTCACCACCAGCTGTTATTTATAAAGCAATAGGAAATAATTACTTAGTGTAAGAGAATAATCACATGGAAGCACATGGATATAATAAGAAAGGTTTGTAAAAACATGCAGAAGTGCTGATATGCTATTTTTTATTTATTTTTAGAGAGAGGGGAAGGGAGGGAGAAAGAGAGAGAGAGAAACATTGATAGGCTGCTTCATGCACGCCCCCAGCCAGGGACCTGGCCCACAACCCAGGCACGTGCCCTGACTAGGAATCGAACCAGTGACCTTTCGGTTCCCAGGCCAGCACTCAACCTGTTGCGCCACACCAGCCAGGGCCGTCCTCCAGTACAGACACCCACCTGCCCCAGTGGCTTGCTACTCCTCACCCTTCTCACCAGAACCCATGGGCAATGAACCCTTTATTGACAAAGAAGGAGTCACATTTTCTCTATCCCTCTTTCAAAGCCTGGAATGAATGCCTGGCTGGGTGGGCAGATGGGAGAGGCAAGTCCTCCCTGCCTTTCAGTGTGTACTTGACCTTGGTCTGAGCCCAGGCAGGCCCAGAAAAGCCTACAGCTGGGTCATGGTTTCTTGGGCAGAACAGCCCCTGTAGGGACAAGTGGAAGACTCCGCACTCCAAATGCAGACTCCAAGCTGGAGGGACCCAACTGTTTATCAGGCCTAAGGGGTCTCCACCTCAAATCACTAGGCACCGGTTAGAAGTCCAGAGTCCTGGGCCCAGCCCCAGGCACGGTTTTGGAGGGTTTTGGTGGAGCCCAGCAGGAATCATGTTTCTAACCAGCTTCCTGAAAAGACTGGTGGGCAGCTGGCTCATGGCCACAAGTCGAGAACTCAGAACCAGTGTAATTGTAGCATGCTCCCTCCCCAAGTCTGAGGAGGGGAGAAGGGGAGGTGACCTGGGGACTGAAGAGGGGGCGGGGAGCCTGTTGCTGGTCACCCAGGCCCAGGGGGTCGCCTGCCACAGACACAGACTCAGCCCAGGTCTCCTGAGCCCTGCCTGGCCCTGGCGAGGGCCCAGCGGCGGCACGCCCTGCCCAGGCATGTGACCATTTAGGCGAGGCCCAGTCTCTGCTGGAACTGAGGGGCCACCAGGGCAGGCGGACGAAGGCTTCTGGGCCAGGCTGGGGCCTGCAGGAGGAGGGCCTGGGGAGCACGGGGAGAGCAGAGCCCCGGGTTCTGGCAAGTGGACTCTGAGCCATAGCAGAAAGCTCATTCCAATGAGCTGAAATCCGTCCACGCAGACCCACGGCAGGCCTGGCCCAGAGGGCGTCCTGCGGCTAGACCGAGACAAACACGGAGCGCCTGAGCTCCTCGGACATGTGAAGGGGCGGCCCTGGGAGTGCGTCGCCATTCGGGGCCTGGACCGGGGCTTCCTCTTGCTCTGAAGTCTGTAAAGACAAGGGTGGGGTTGAAAGCAGAGCCTAGTTCAGCGGGGTGGGGAGGGGCTCGAGGGGTCGCCCCCAGCCTTTCCCACAGCTCCAGGCCTCTGTCCGTTGGAGGGGACACAGGAACTAACAATGTCTCCCCACCATCCCCAGGCTTTGACTCAGCCCCACCCCAAGCCACTATCCCCTGAAGGCACCTCAGGTTGGGTTCTGGCTTTAGAGGTCAGAACCCTGCCAGCCCAGAGCCCTTCAAGCTGTGATTCCCAATGAGCTATTTAAGAACTTTCTGGATGAGGAAAAAGAGGATGTAAGGTCATGAGCTCTGGCTCCCGAGCTCCTGTGGTCGTGATGGGGCAGGAGGGTGCATGCGGGGAGCAGAGTTCGGGGAGCGGATGCTGAGGGAAGAGCCGTCCCCCCACAACACGCACTGCCAGAGAGGAGCCAGACTCGGGGGCTCCGGACCCCAGGACCCTCTGTCCGCACCTGGTCCGGGCACTGGATGTCCGTGCAGGGGCTGGCAGCAGGCCCGGCGGTTGCTTCGACCATGTGGATCACAGAGAACTCCGGCACCTGTCCCTTCCCCAGAGGCTGAGACAGGGACTCGAGTCAGAACAGCGGGTTCTTGGCAGCAGGGACAGAGAAGGGAAATGCAGGGGGGAGGGGGAATGCAGAGGTGCCAGGGGAAGAACAGGGTTCGTGGTGTCAGAGTCCTTAGGTTCAATTTCTAAGTCTCAATGTGACCTTGGGCAAGCCACTTAACCTCCCCGAGGCCCGGTTTCCTGAGCTGTAAAATGGGGATAAGAATTCTTTCCCTCAGGGCAATAATGACTATTCATGATAATGTTGTATTACTCAACAACTAGGGACTCCTGGGGTGATGCCTTTGTTCTCATTATAGTTACTGTTGGACACCACAAAGATCCACCGAATCACAAACAGCACAGGGAGGAATTCTGCACAGAGCATCAGTTTGAGTAACCAACCCCTCCTCCATCCAATGAGGAGACTGAGGCCCCGGAATGAGAGGTGGGTGGTCCAGAGTGAGAGGGGAAGCCCATCTCCTCAATCAGACCCCCTGTCCCCAGGGGTGCTGAGGTTGGGGTGCCAGCCTCCTCCCATTCCTGCCCCCTTGTCCTAGCCGCTGGGCAGAGCACTGGCTGGAGCTGAGGCCCTGGACACCACTGCCCTGAGGTGCCCCAGGCCTGGGTCTCATGGCTTCATGGGCCACTTCTGGTCGCCCCCCGCCACCTGGTTATCTTCTCTCACACTTACCTGTCAGGTGGGAAAACTGAGGCTCAGAGAGGTTATGTAACTTGTGGATGTCACAGTGGCGAGTGGCTAAGTTGGGACCTGTACCCACCGGCCACGCTTTGACCTCAGGCCCAAGCCCTTTTCCTACACGACTCTGGCGGGGCATGAGCGTACTACTCCGGTCTCTCTGCAACCTGCCTGCTAACCGGGCCTCTGGCTCCCATCAATACCCTGGCTTCAGGGGACAGAGTATAGGGGAAGGCAGAAGGGGGAAGAGATTTTACAAACGCTGTCACTCGTGGTCCTTGTCCCTCCAGCTCGGCCTGTGGTGAGGACACGGCTGACCAGAGGACTCCTGAGTGGACCGAGGTCCATTTCCCTTTAACCCCATGTTTATAGCTTTGTGATTAGTTAACACCCAGCCACTGCTGACCACTGTCCACCAGCAGCCACAGATGTGTCACCTACTCACGGATGACTGAATTTGAGGAAAGAACCTCACGGGGTAGACACCAAACTACATGTGTGGGCACTGGCCTGGACCCTACGCTGTGTCCAGTGCGGGTTTCAGTCCATCATCCGTCCTGCCATCCACCTTGTGGACAACTGGCCTGTTCTAGCAAGTGCGGGGGCATTTTCTGGGACGTTGAATACACAAGATATATATATATATATGGGAGCCCTGGCTTCTGGGCAGTAGAAAAAAAGGAGCAAAGACACAGGGAAGCCTGGCGGTGTGGCAGTCGAGTCCCGATCTGATCCCGGCACTCCCAGTTGGGCTATTATTACAGGAGCCAGAGGCCACGGACATCCTGTGTTCATGGACCAAGGACGGTCCCTTCTCCTGAGTCTGGGGGAAGAGTCGTGGCTGAGGGGCTGACTCTGCGCCTCTGCCCCTCGTTCTCCCCTGGGGGAGGTGGAGGGGCACAGGGTGTTGCCGCAGGCCCCGCGGACTGCAGTGAGGCCCCAGTTCCTCCTCTTTCAGGCTGGGTCACTGTGGGCACGTTACTTACCCTCTCTGAGCCTCTATTTCTTAGTCTGTAAGAAAGGGGGAAACGACACCTAGCTGTGCGTAAGTTACAAAGATTCGGTGACACGCATAAAGCCCCTGGCACATAGTAGGTATGCCAGAAAAAGAGCTTCTGGCAGGCAGTAGCTGTCCCAGGAAGGAAAATGCTCATCTGACCTCTGACACTTTCCTCCGAATGTTAACGAAGCCTGGGGCTTCCTGGCAGAGTGAGTGGGGTGCCCTCTCCCCTCTGACCTCTGGCCCTGTGCCCTCCCACAGGGGCAGGGGCAGGACAAGTGACTGGGGCAGCCCTTCCAGTGTGTGCTGGATGGCAGCAGAGCAGGGGGCGCGGCTGGCGCCGGCATTCGTGGCCTCCCTGCAGATTCCCCACAGCAACATGGGGGTTCTCCCTCCTACCCCAGCCCCTCCTCTGGTGTTGGGTGGGAGTGAGTCCCAGGATGAATCGCCAGGGGCTGAGCTCTTAAAGTGGCCATTGACAGCTCCCTGTCCATGTCCTTGATCTTTCCCTTACTCCCATCAGACACCTTTGGCCTTGCAGAGCTTCCTGAGATAACAATAGTAGCTGCCTCCGCCAAGCCCAGGACACCATTCCCACCTCCACCTCTCCCAAGAGGGACCAGGCCTGAGACTTTTGTCCTCACTGGCGCTGGTGCCAGAAAAGAAGGCAATAGTAGCCCCTTTCCTTCCCCCACATGTGAGGGAATTGGAGCAGAGGCATCTCAGTAAACAACTCAGGGACGGGGAGTTGGGAGAGGCAGCTGGCGCTTTGGTTTCCTGACCTCATGATTTTGCAGCCCTCTCCTCACGTGGGAAGGGCCGGTCTCTCACTACAGGGGCCATGGAAGGGCCCTGCAGTAGGTAGCTTTTGGGCAGATTCCCCTCTCCAGGAAGATGGGCAAGGGTCCCCCATTCCTCCTGCTCCCTGGTTCCCAGAGCACCACCCTCAGCCTGTGTCTCAGAGCCAAGAAAAGCTCAGAGAAAACATTAGAATGTTCTGGAAAGAGGAGAGATGGGAGGTGAGAAATCTGGGTTCCGTCCTCTGTTTGGGCTACCATGTGCTGTGTGACCTTGGGCAAGATTTTGACCCTCTCTGGACCTCAGTTTCCTCTTCTGCAAAAGCAGACTAGAGCCTGGAGCTGTCCCCTTCTGGTGTACTGTCAGAATCCCCAGTGTTTAAAGCTCAGGTTCCTGGGCCCCATCCCCTACAGGTTTGCCTGGGAGAGCGTATTTCTAACACCACCTGCCCACCAGCCCCTGGCGTTCTGAAAGGGTTGTGCACCGAACTTAGAGGGAGGTGGCCCTGCATGATCTCACAAGCCCACTCTGGGTCCAGCTCTGATCTTCTCTGGTTATAAAAGGTGGATGGGAGGAGGGCGCTGGGCCGGGGGAAGGATCCTGCCTGGACCCTGACGAGAAGTCAGGGTGAGGAGGGAGGCTGTCAGCTCATAGCCTGGAGGGCTGGCCCTGGGGCTCATGGATTCCCTGGAGGAGGGAAGCAGTCCCTGCCTGGAGATGGGCCCTGGGGGACCAGGTAGGGAGATGCAGAGGCGGAGCCCAGGAGTCCTGACTTCCGAGCCTTCGGGGTCTGAGGGTCCAGGCTTGGGCTTTGGTCCGCCTTCTGTCTTACCAAGTGTGAGTGGTGGACCTTCTCATTCCTCTGAGTCTCCGTGGCCAGTTGAACTGAAAAAGACCAGAAGGAGTACCTTGAGGCCAGGAGTAGCTGGGAGGAGTAGCCTGCAGCTGCTCCCACAGAGAAGGACCGGACCTTTGCAGCTTTGAGCAGGGGCTTCCTCAAGGGAGTTAGCAGACCGATTGGGCAGCAAAGCCCCTACTAGACCAGCCCCTTGGCAAAGGCCCGGCCTTTTGGGATCAGTACATGGAAATTCCTTCCTGTGGGCCAGACACTGGCCGGGCAAGCCAAGCTCTGTGTGCTACAGTCATTGCTTCTTCCTTCTATGTGTGCGTGCAGGGCCCCAGGAAACGTTGCTGAAATACAGACTCGAATGCACCAGGCTGGCCTGGGGCTGTGAGTCTGCTTCACTCACAGGCTGACGGGGGAGGTCACTGCTGCCAGCCAGGGACATAATGTGAGAGGCAGATGCTCAGAGGGTCTGAGGCTGTGAGCAGCAATGCTCCCACGCTGCTGTGAGTTCTTCCTGACCCCCCTGCGGGGATCTGGGGATATGGGCAAAGCTGACATTCTTCCTGGAGCCGCCGAGCCGGGGGTGGGGGGGACAGGGGAGTGGGAGGCCAGCCCAGGATGTTCCCATGGCCATCTGCACAGGGACAGCACTGCCAATTTACAAAGTGCTTCCCCACACAACTTCCTGGCTCCGCGCTTCCTGCACAGGGCGAGCTGCTCACCGCTCTGTGCCTCGGTTCCTTCCCTGGTGTAACCTGGGTGCTTGTCACAAGTCGCCCCCGACTGCACGGCATTGAGGAGGTCAGAGGAGGTAAAAGCAAGATTGGGGTGCAGGTGGAAGAGGGCACCAGGGGATAAATGACAATGGGAAAAATACACTAAAAATGCACTATTAAAAAAATAAATCACGTGTACTTACCTTGGGGAAAAAAAAAGGCACTACAAGCCACACGAGGGTGCCTGGCACAAAGGTAGCTCCTGGTGTTTTATGACCTGTGCTGCCCAGCACAGTGGCCATGAGCCACACACGGTCATCGGGCCCTGGAGATGTGACTACTCCCAGTTATACCAGTTTCAAAGACTCAATGTGAAAAAAAAGGAATGCAGACTATGATATCATTACTACTTTCTATTGTTTCCATGTTGAAATGATCGTGTTTTGGTTATACCGGTTAAGGTCTGTGATTAAAATGAACTTTGCTAGTTTCTTTTTGCTTTTTCCATGTGACATTAGAGAATTCTAGGTGGCATACGTGTGGCTTCTGTTCTATTTCTGTTGGCACATGTCTGCGACCTGGAGAAGCCAGGGCTCAGGGAAGGTGGATGACTTCCCTGGGGCTCCGTAGTTGAAAAGGCGGTGGGCCTGGCACCCGAAGCCAAGCCGCAAAAGAAGCCGAGCACCTCTGCAGACCCCGAGGCCACAATGCCCATTGTGCCCAAGTTCAAGTCCTCAGTCCGACTTCCCCTCTATAGTCAGTCCTCACACAAGTAGCTGGACCTGCAGAGGCTGTACATAGGTTCCCTGGAATCTTCAGGGAGGGAAGCCAGCCAAGAGCAACCCCCCCCACTCCCCCTTTGGTTCCCTCACTGAGCCACACGGCTTCTCCCGGGTGGTGGTGGGGGACTGCGGGTCTCGGCGAGGTCTCAGAGAGGTCCCCCGCTGGCCTAGAGTCCGCAACCCACTCCCATCAACCTCTGCTCACCTTTCTTCCTCCACTGGAGTATGTACCTGCCGAGGGCGCACAGCCCTGAGACCAGCAGAAGGGCCAGCAGCACCAGTGCCGGCGCCAAGGCGCGGACCGTTGCGGGGCACACCCTGCGGAAGGCATCCAGTGGCTGTCACCAGACACGGCGTGCACCACGACATTCTTATTCTGAGTCCCAGCCACCTCCCTTGTCTCTCTCTCCCAAGGAGATCAGAGGGCACCAGGGGCCAAACATCCAGTCAGTCCCAAAGCAGAGGACCCCAGTCCCCACTGCTGACCCCAGGAACCAGCCCTTCAGGCGAGGACTCCAGTGGGTAGGAAAAATTTTTTTGTTCGTGCTTACATGCTTGGCACAGGGCCCAGAGCAAAGTGTACAGGCAAGAACACCTGAACCAGGTGGCTGGCCCTGAAGCCGGGGCAGGGAGAGAGGTGCATCCTTCTCCTTGGGTGGGCCTGCGTTTCCAGGGCAACAGGGCTCCTGGCCCTAGGGCCCTGCAGAGGGGAGGTGGGGGGTGGGGTGGCGGCTGAATCTGCCCTCAGGGCCTCAAGCTACAGCCAGGACAAGGAGCTGTGTTCTCCCAGACAGAGGAGTGTGAGGCTCTTTTGTTCTTATTTGCCCAAAGGCCCCCTGTGGTTGTGTGATGGCCTGAAAGGTGACCTTGGTCACCTGGGGCTCACCTGGACTTGGAGCTGCTGCTGCTGGGGAGCAGACTGGCGTCTTTGGCCGAGGCGGAGTCCAGGTGAGTGGATGGGCCCGAGGTCCCTGCATGAGGAGAAGTTGCTTTGTGAGGAGAGGTTTCTTCACGTGGAGAGGTCCCTGCACTCGAAGAGGCGCCCGCACGCGGAGGGGTCCCTGCATGTGGAGAGGTTCCTGTGTACAGAGATGCTCCTGTGTGCTCGGGTGGGGATGTCCCTGTGAGCGGAGAGGCCTCAGCCTCTGTCTTCCCCCACTTGGCTGTGGTGACTTGCGGGTGGACACCAGGAAGAGCTACAAGTCCAAAAGCAATGCCTCAGTGCCTTCCCTGACCTTCGAATCCCAGCTTCCCCAGACCTCTGAGCCTTGACCCCTGAACCCTCCCCTCCCTGGGACCAGCTTTTCACAACACCCCCAGGTAAAGGACTCCCCAGGAAGCCAACAGAGGCCTAGATAAAGCCCCTTTATCTAGGCAGGCCCTATCTCAGGCATGCCCCCGACCCATGCACTTTTCAGCCTCTTTTCCTGGCTGAAGCCTGTTCTCTGTGTGGAGGGGGACACCCTACTCCCATGACCCATTCAAGTGACCCCTGGGTAGATGGCTTCCTGCTGTCCCCTACGGTCCTGGCCTCACCTGGAAGTCCTCATGTCAACATCACATGCCCACCCTACCACCTGTGCATGCCTCAGTAGACCTCAACCTCCTTCCTTAGCCATGGGGTTGGCAGGGCAGCCTCACAGATCCAGGGATCAAGGCAAAAGGCCCGGCCTCTCCTGTTCATCCCTCAGACCCTGGACTGAACACACAGAAGCTTTGCCGGCAGCCTGGCTCTGCTTCCTGGCTCTGCTGCCTCCTACGTGACCTTGAGCGAGTGACCTAGTGCTGCTGAGTGCCTCAGTCCTCATCGGGCACCCCAGCACCCAGGCAGTGGGGGCCATCAACCCCGGTGTCTGCACCAGGCAGGTGCTCGCTGGTTGTTTTGCTACAAAGGGGCGGAAGAGGGCTGGGAAAACCATTCACTCACTCAGTGCTGTGGGCTGAGTTTGCCAAGCTTTGGCCTTGGGCTGGAGGCTTGTAGCAAGAGGCTGGACAAAAGGTGTGGGGGAGGGAGCAGAGCGGGGACCTGGAGGAAAGGGAAGGCTGGTCTCAGCGAGGCAGGGGTCGCTGCTCTGAACCAGATTTCCTGTCTTGGGAGCAGCCAGCAGCATCCCCCTCTCCCTGCACCCTTATTTCCTCTCAGAGCATCCTGTCTTCTGCCCTCAGCCACTCAGGAGCCTCGGCTGGTGGAGTCCGGCGGATTGATGGCTTTTCCCTCCTGCAGACCCCTTGGCCTCCCACTGAGCTCATACGGTCAGCGTCCCTCGTCCCACCTGCCCACTGGCTTCTTCCCATGCTACCCCTCATTCCAATGCCAAGTTTGTCTCTAAAATATTCATCGGATCCCATCGCTTTCTGCGGAAGGACAGCCAATGACTCCTCACTGCCCCTAAGCTGAAGTGCAAACCTTTTCTTGTTTCTTTCAAGGCCTTTTAAATGCAGACATAACCCACTCGGCCGACTTCGCCGCTTCCCCATCCCCGCAGTCCCGTCCGAGGGAGCCTCCCGCCTCCCCCGCGTCTGCTCCTCTGTGCGCCAGGCCTTTCCATCTCCACCCAGCACGATTCTCTGTGTTCTTCAAGCGCTGGCTCGGAAGTCAACTCCTCCATCACACCTTCCCTGGAAGGAGCAAGCCCTTTGTCCTTTGCGTGCCCACAGGACCCTGTGCCCGTCACCAGTGACGCTAACACAGTTTGTGGCAGTAACTTGTTTACAAGGCCTCCTCAGTAGGCGAGACTTCTCCAGGGCAAAACGCCCAGGTACCCGGCACAGTAGGCTGAAATCTTGTGTGGCCAAACCCCCCGGGGACCCGCCAGGCTCCCCGACTCCCGCAGTTGCCTCCTCTCTGACTTCCATGGTGCCCTGGCCTTTCTCCCTTCCCTGTCATTTTTTAATTCTAATCCAGGTCTCCAGTTTTTCTCGGTCACTGATGAACTCTTCTGCAGATGGAGAGTTTTTTCCCTTCTTTTCCTTTCCACTATTTATACTCCTTCGTCTTGTCCTGTTCGATGGGCTAGCGCCTCCAGGTCATGAATGCAGGCGATGCCAGCGGCCACTCATGTCTTGCTCTGTCCCTCCTACAAATTCCTCTAACGCTTCTCCACATGCTGTGGGCTGTGGACACACTCCCACTGGCTCGTGAGAGCTAATTTTAGCCTTTCGGGAATTTGGTGAGCTGGTTGTTAAACTGCTGGCGGCCAGAAATTGGCCATGGCCGGGGCATTTACGTGCCAGAAATGAACAAACAAGACAAGCAGGGGTTTAGCCGCCAGCCCGCTGCTGCCAGGGGCCTGCGTCATTTCAGCTTCTCACCTGTCATCAGGGAGAGGCCAACGGCTCCGATACAGGAGGATACGATAATGACACGTGTTATACGCAAATACATATGAAGGAGGGTAAGAAGGAAAACAGGACAGCCTCACATACGGGGAAAGACCGATCACACCGGGTAAAAAAGAGGTCTGACTACTAAGAACTGGAAGATGTTGGAGAATCTTATAAATAAGGAGAAAGAGGCTCGATGTGGGTTTGATGCTGCTGTTATCATTCGGTGAGCGTGCCTTTGCTTTCCCTGAATTAAAACAAAGTCCCACGGATGATGGGGGTCTGGCAGTGGGGATGGGCTGGGGCTGGGTGGTTCCCAGCTCTGGGTGCAGGACAGGGGAGAGAGCAGATACTGCGCCAGAAATAACTAGCTCTGGAAACCTGGCCTCGCCACTTCCTGCCGTGACACCCTGGGCAAGTCATTTCTTCTCTCGGAGCCTCAGCCGCCGCATCTGGGAAATGGGGTACGAAGGCCTACCTCACCCTTGCTGACCCTCAGACTGGGGCTGCCCACTCCCTGAGGCCCTCCTGGCCTCTGTCTCCAAGCTCAGCAGGTCCAGGTGGGCCCCGGCACCCAGAGAGGTGCTCTACCCCCAGCCCGTGCCCCACGGCTCTAGCCCCAGCCTCCTAGTGTCTGGAGCTAAACAAGCCCCCCCCCCCCCCGTGGCTGGTTCCCAGGAACTGCCCACACCTGCCCACGGGACTTCGAGATCTGGGGAAGCAGAGATGAGAAGGAAGAGTGAGGCCACAGCGGCAGTGGGGTGAGCTGTGGCTCGAGCGATCTGTGGGGTGGGCCTGGGAGGCAGCGATCAAGGGCCCAGCCCGAGGAGCCCTCCGGAATCTCTCTAACTCCAGGAAGGGAGGGCATCTTTTTTATTCCGTGGCAGGTCCATTCTGTCCCCAGCTCCCGGAAGTCTCTCCCCCGAGCCTGGGCCGACAGGGGAGGCACTGAGGCTGCAGTGCGACAGGTCTGGGTTCCACGCTGCCCTGCCACCTGCTAGTGCTGTGAGCTCAGGCAGCAAGAGTGGAAGAGCAGCTGAGGCTTGTGCGGCAGCACCTGGGCCCCAAACGCCGCTGCGTGTGTGACCTGTATGACCTCACTGGGTCCTAGAGACGCCTCTTCTCTGTGAGGCGTTCTGCTCTTTGCGTTGGGAGAACTGGGCCCGCCGCTGTCCGCCTACCTGCCCACCCACCCCGCCCTCTTGCCCACCGCCCCTCCCACCCTCCAGGAAGGAGGGACATCTGTTACCTGGAAGGACGACCAGAGAGACCAGGAGACTCCTGTCAAAGCCCAGCATTTGGATGCCACACCAGTATTCTCCCGAGTCCTCCAGGGTGAGCGCCCTCAGGGTCACGTTGAACCTGAGCTCCCGGGGGCTGTCTTGGATGGACACCCTGCCCTCTGTGTTCTCCCGGCCGTCTGCTCTGGCGTAGATAGTGCCGGAGCAGCGTTCAAATAGGATCCCGGCCTTCCTGCACCAGTATTTCTGGTGGTTCCTCAGCTTCTCCCCGTAGGTGCACAGTATGGACACGGTGTCGCCTTCAGACCCTCTGATATTCTTCAGGCCCGTCAGGGCTCCACAGCCTGAGACCACAGCAGAAGGAGGGGTTGGAACTCCCTGGCCTCAAGCACCAGGGTCAAGACCAGTAGGTTTTTCTCAGTCACCCCTTTGTGGGGACAGCCCTGTCAGAGCTGGTACTCCCCACTCCCACTGGGCAACCTTAGGACAGGGCTGTGGAAATAAAGATAATTCTACATAATTGTTTCCCTAAACCCGGCATGTTAAAGGCTGTGGGCGGGGAAGTTCTGGCTTCAGACAACCTGGAGTTGGAATCCCAGCACTGCCACTCAGTAGCTGTGTGACCTTGGGGAAGTTGCTTGACTTCTCTGCGCGTCTGAGTTTTCTCATCTATGGGTGATGACAATGTCTTATTGCATTTCTTTTCTTTGAAAAGAATTATTTTTATGGATAGACATAATAAGTTAAAGGTCCACATTTGTTTATCCACAAAATCCCCTGTCTTCCCTGACCGGCGTGGTTCAGTTGGTTGGGTGTCGTACCCCAAAGTGAAGGGTCACCAGTTCAATTCCCAGTCAGGGCACGTGCCTGGGTTGTGGCACTGGTCCCCAGTAGGGGTACGTGCAAGAAGCAACTGATCGATGTTCTTCTCTCACCTCGATGTTTCTCTCCCTCTCTTTCTCCCTACCTTTCCCTCTCTCTAAAAGTAAATAAATAAAATCTTTAAAAAAAAACCAACAAAACAAACAAGCAAGCAGAAAAAAAAAACCCCAAAAAACAAAGACACTGAAATAGAGAACAAGGGGATAGTGACCAGAGGGGAGAAGGAAGGGAAGTTAAGGGGAAAAAGGGGGAGGGATTTGGAGGAACAAATAGGAAGGACACAGGGAGGAGAACTAAGGGGGGGGTGGAAATGGGAGGGAGGTGGGGAGCAAGGGGCGGGGGAGGCTGGGATGGGAAAAACAGACAAAAAACTGTACTTGAAAAATAACTAAATAAAATTAAAATAAAAAAAACAAAAAAAACAACAACAAACCCTTTCTGTTTGTAGAGTCTGTGGAGACCCTCAGCCTCCCGGCCTGTCACAATGAGCTGCCCCAGCTGGAGTTCGGAGGGGGGTGACTGCAGCCGAGACTCAGGGGTTCTGCCTCCTGTGGAACGCCCCCCGTACCCCACAGGGCAGTGCGAAGGGCGAGCTTGGCTGTGGGCAGCTGTGTTTGGGGGGTAATGGACCCGCTGCTGAAATGGGACGGGGCGGTGTGGGGGCTTCCTTCCTCATTTAGACTTTTGGAGTCTTCCCGGTGCCTAACAATTGGCCGTGTTAGTGACTGGAGATTTGGATTTAAGTGTGGGTCTCCAGGGTAACACCAAATGAAGAGGCAGGACACAAAAGGATATGTACCGAGTTATCTGTTTGGGGATTTTATTAAAGAAAAAAATTTTTAATAGTCACCCACAGCCAACCTGTTAACACTGGTTAGTTACCTCTGTTGGGGACACATTTTCTTCTCTGCAAGAAGCACTTTGTCATTTGCTCTTTTTAAAACGTGATTTTGTTTTAATGTTTCAATTACAGTTTACATTCAGTACTGTTTTGCACACGCATTCATGGGTCGTGCACGGTGGTGAGATAATCACAGGCTTTATCGGCAAGTGTTGCCCCTGCCGTTGCCGTCCGCACCCGACACCATGCGGAGTCCTCACGCCACACACGGTCATTACAGCCTTGCTGACTGCCTTCCCTGGGCTCCACTGTGCATCCCTGGGACTGCTTTGCAACTACCGATTTGTAGTTCTCAGTCCCTTCCCCCTTTCTGCAGGCCGTGTTTATTTTGCTTCTGCGGATTCCACCTGTAAGTGAAATCCTAGGGTGTTGGGCTTTCTCTGCCTGGCTTATTTCACTTAGTGCCACGCCCTCTGGGTCCATTCTGGCTATTGTAAATGCTGAGATTTCACTCTCGCGTGATTTAAGATGCTATCCTATGTAAGATACACTAATTTTATGTGCTACTGAAAACTTGTCAGTGGAATGGTCATCACTTATAAGATACATCCTGATTTTTGATGTTAAAAGGTTAAAAAACCAACAAGTCTGCGAATTGATAAAACAGAATAATTCTTTACCTCCCAGGGCTGTTGCGTATAGTGAAGGTCAAAAAAATAGTTGCAGAGCCTAGGGTGGCATCGTGGGGGGATGTGTTGTCTGTCTCCAGGCTGGGCGCAGAGCAGGACAGTAAGGACAGAGGCAAAGCTGCCCTCAAAGTTGCGCCGCCAGGAAGAAGCTGGAACCCCTAGGTCTGGGACACCACCTGCCCTGCGTTCCCAGCCCGGCAAGTGCGGGGGGTGGGGGGAGCCCTGGGGGGCTGAGGAGGCTCAGAACAACCGAGGGTGGGCGAAGCCTGGAAGGATCGGACAGGGCTACCTCGCTGCCGCAGGCAGGAAAGGAAGCGGAGGCTGGGGAGACGCTCTTCCAGCAAACTCACGAGCCAGCTGGGGCCAGAGCCCCACATCCCTCCACTCCCCCCTCCACCCCACTCACCTGGGAGCAGGAGGCAGCTGCACAGCAGGACGAGGGGCCTCATGGCTGCAGCAGTGTGCACACTCCAGGAATGGGAGTGCCTCTGGGGGCTTTCGCTTCCTCCAGATGAAGGAGATCAAAACCAGGAAGGCAGAGGAGGGGCCCTGTGGGTCACCCTAGGCCGCCCAGCCCAGGGTGGCGCCTCTGCCACTCCCTTTACTTATCTCTCCCGCCTGAAAACCCCACGAGAACGCTTCTCCCCAACCCATGCTCCCTCCAGGGGGTCTTAACTGTGGCCACAGGCAGACGCCCAAAGTGGAGGGTTGTTGTCCGGATTCCGGGTGGGGGTGGGAGGCCCAGTGGGCGTGGAACTGCTGCTGACGTGCCCTAACCTTGAAGTGATATCACTCCTTCCATTGTGAGCTTTAGCAGCACTTGTGACTTTGTCACCTGTAGAAATCACAGACATTAGCACATCAGGTTGTCACCGATAGCTCAAAATATTGAGTACGCTCCTCTCTGCTTAGAATTCTAGTGTTGGATGGTATATCTCTGTTCTTTCATTGTTGTTCTGTCCTTGCACAGAACATTTCTGATCTTCCTGGTTATCTTAAATTCTAACTTACTTGTCATAAGCAGGGGAAAGCACCCGACCCTGTTATGGTTTCCAGTGTCACAGGGCCTCTGCCCTGACACTTGGAAATGTTATTTGGTGACAAGTGGTTTTCCTGTCATTTTCTCCCCCCTCTCTTACAGCTCAGGCATTATACTGTGATTTTTTAGAAGTAAGTGTGAGAAGGCATATTATTGGTGACTGCATTTCAGGAAAGTGAAAGCAGTGTCAGCAAAATTTTAATTTAGTTTCATTTTAATTTTTAATTTTATTATATATATATATATTTAGAGAGGGGGGAGGGAGGGAGAAAGAGAGGGAGAGAAACATCAGTGTGTGGTTGCCTCTCACACGCCCCCTACTGGGGACCTGGCCTACAACCCAGGCACGTGCCCTGACTGGGAATCGCACCGGCGACCCTTTGATTCACAGCCCGTGCTCAATCCACTGAGCCACACCAGCCACAGCTAGTTTTAATTTTTATGTAGAGAGTGTTGGGTCTAATAGGCACTGTCTTTGCTCTCTCCGTGTGTATGGCGAGGTCCTTCCCTCCACAGCCTCTCACCTAGTCAGGAGCTGGGTTTGGGGACTGTGGTAGAGCAGATCCTCCAGGCCCAAAAGTATCGCGAGGGTTGGACAGAAGGGCTGCAGTGAGGGGCTAGTATGGGCCCTGTACCTGGTCCTACTCCATGGAGTGTGTGCTGGGGACAGACAGATGTCCCTGGTGATTTGGGGATCTGAGAGGACAGGACATTTGTGTCCTGCTTCATACCAAGTTGGTAAAAGTGAAGCTTGACATTTTTGGCAGCGAACTGGAAAGCATAAAAATAATGAGCCCCCCTCCACTTCCAGCCAAGATGGAGGCGTAGATAGACACCCTGTGCCTGCTTGCACAACCAAAAATTAAGGACAAAAATTTAGAAATAAAATAAACAATCAGAAATGACAGAAAACTGAACTGTATGGAAGTCCGACAACCATTCATCCGGACTGGTAAGAGGGGCGGAGTCGGTGGCCTGCAGAGAGGGGTTGGGGCAGGAAAAAGCGGTGGCTGGTGGACCCAGCTGTGCAGGCAACAGTGGGCAGACCCCGGGTGCAGGGTGGCAGCAAGCGGACCGAGTGAGGCACACAAGGTGGTTGGCTGACCGCGCTCACACATTCACCTGCAGATAAACCAGGTAGAAATGGGGAGCGAGACAGACTGCGCAGCCCAGGGCCCTAGCAGCCAGAAATAAAGCGTAAAAGCATCAATTGAAAACACTTGTGGGTGTGGAGCTGCAGGGAGAGACTCCCAGCCTCACAGGAGAGTTTGTTGGAGAGACCCACAGGGTCCTAGGACATACACAAACCCACCCACGGGGAATGTGTTTCCATATTGTCTGCGGCTGTCTTTGCATTGCAACGGCAGAGCTGAGTAGTTGCAAAGAAGATTATGTGGCCCCCCCCCAAAGCCTAAAATATGGCCCTTGACAGAAAAAATGCCAGTCTCTTCTCTGAATGCCCGGAAGCACAGGGCAGCAGCCATTCTTCTCTGCAGCTGACAGATGGTTATCATTTGGGTTCTGGTTCAGCACTGATTTACCAAGCAAAGGGACAAGGTTGTTTATTGGATGGACGGAAGTAGGGGAAGTCCAGAGAATTGAGCGCTTGCCCTGAAGGATACCGCAGCTGGCAGTCTTTCTTTATCGTCAGCTTTCACTAGATGACCTCAGATGAGCCACTTGCACAGACAGGGCGCGATCTCTCCTCTGCCTCTCTTTCCTTCTCTTCAAAATGGGCAACCGCATCAGGCACCCTTCTGTGTGCCAGGCACCCTGTTGGGTGCAGGCAGTTCCAAGATGATTAAGCCCTGGCTCTCTGGGAGTTCTTAGGAGGTCGTGACTGGGGACTTCCTGGAAGGGGCGATGCCCATGCTGAATTCCAAAACAAGAAACAGGGTTTTCCAGAAGGAAAAGGGAGAGGAAGGGCATTCCACACAGTCAACTGGACAAGCAGAGCCAAGGGAAGGTAGACAGACGGCATATTCAGGCAGCTCTGAGCTGCCTGGTGTGGACACAGAATGCCTGGTGTGGGCATAGAAAGCCTGGTGTGGACATAGAAAGCCTGGTGTGGACATAGAAAGCCTGGTGTGGACATAGGATGCCTGGTGTGGACATAGAAAGCCTGGTGTGGACATGGAATGCCTGGTGTGGACATGGAAAGCCTGGTGTGGACATAGGATGCCTGGCGTGGACATAGAAAGCCTGGTGTGGACATAGGATGCCTGGTGTGGACATAGGATGCCTGGCGTGGACATAGAAAGCCTGGTGTGGACATAGGATGCCTGGTGTGGACATAGGATGCCTGGTGTGGACATAGAAAGCCTGGTGTGGACATAGGATGCCTGGTGTGGACATAGAAAGCCTGGTGTGGACATAGGATGCCTGGCGTGGACATAGGATGCCTGGTGTGGACATAGGATGCCTGGTGTGGACATAGGATGCCCAGTTGGAGGTAAGAGCAACAGGGGAGAGGCCAGAGCGCTGGCAGGTCATAAAGAACCTGATTGTCCGTCCACACGCAGGTACTGAGCTCGGCCCCGAGGGCAGCAGGGAGCTGTGGGAAGGTTTCAAGTATGAAATAGCACAGCCGGGTTTGTGGTATAGAAGGGGCGCACTGGCCACCGAGTAGAGAGGGATCTGGATAGTGAGGCTGGAAGCAGGAAACCAATCTGCAGGTGGGGGCCAGATCCATGCAGTTTAGAAAGGGGGCTTGATTTAGGCCTGTGGGAACAGGGAAGAGACACCCAGGAAAGATTCCAGAGATAAAATGAAAGTTCCTTGGTGGCTGCCACAGCTTGGGCAGGAGGCCCCCAGGATAATGCCCAGGTGTCTGCTGGGACGCGTGGGTGCTGCAGCCGCAGTCTGGGGCCGGAATAAGGAGGGGCTTAGGGCTCATTGAATTCACGAGGCCTGTCTGACTCGAACGTGGAGATGACCAGGAGGTGGAAGGGTTGTGCGTCCAGAGATCTAAATTTGGTGGCCCCCAGCCTCCAGGAGCACCAGAAGGGCCCACTTGGCTTGTGAGAAGTGGCAGAGGGGACTGAAATCTAAGAGAGAGTGGGGAAAGCACCATTGCTCCCTCTCTGACTCCACCCCCACATACAGCATCACAACCCAGCTACTGGGTTGCCTGCCCTGGTGAACACCTAAGGCTCTGCTCCTCATATGTTACAGGCGCGAACGGACCAAAACATTATGGCTCAAGAATAGCTTAAAGCCCCAGAGCCAATACTTCTAAGTGACTAAGAGATAGCCAACATATCAGATGCAAGGTTCAAAGCACTGGTGATCAGGATGCTCACAGAATTGGTTGACTTTGGTCGCAAATTAGATGAAAAAAATGAAGGCTACACTAAGTGAAATGAAGGAAAATGCACAGGGAACCAACCAATAGTGATGGGAAGGAAACTGGGACTCAAATCAATGGAGTGGACCAGAAGGAAGAAAGAAACAACCAAACAGAAAAGAATGAAGAAACAAGAATTCAATAAAATGAGGAGAGGCTTAGGAACTTCCAGGACATCTTTAAACATTCCAACATCCGAATTACAGGGTACCAGAAGGGGAAGAGGAACAGCCACCAGTGGAAAACTTCTTTGAACAAATAATAAAGGGGAACTTCCCCAATCTGGCAAAGGAAATAGACTTCCAGGAAATCCAGGAAGCTCAGAGAGTCCCAAAGAAGTTGGACCCAAGAAGGAACACACCAAGGCACATCATAATTACATCAGCCCAAGATTAAAATGAAGGAGAGAATCCTAGAAGCCGCAAGAGATAAGGGGACTGTCACCTACAAAGGAGTTCCCATCAGACTGTCAGCAGATTTCTCAAAAGAGACCTTACAGGCAAGAAGGGGCTGGAAAGAGGTATTCCAAGTCATGAAATCCAAAGACCTACATCCAAGATTGATCTATCCAGCAAAGCTTTCATTTAGAATGGAAGGACAGATAAAGCGCTTCTCAGATAAGATCAGGTTCAAGGAGTTCATTGTCACCAAGCCCTTATTCTATGAAATGTAAAGGACTTATCTAAGAAAAAGAAGATAAAAAATCTGAACAGTGAAAGGACAGCAAACTCACAGTTATTAACAACCACACCTAAAACAAAAGCAAATTAAGCAGACAGCTAGATCAGGAGTGGAACCACAGAAATGGAGATCACATGGAGGGTTAGTAATAGGGGAGTGGGAGGAGCAGAGGGGGGAAAAGGTACAGAGAATAAGTAGCATAGACACTAGGTAGAAAATAGACAGGGGCAGGGCAAGAATGTATGGGAAATATAGAAGCTAAAGAACTTGTGACACATGGACAGGAACTAAAGGGGGGAATGTGGGTGGGAGGGGTGTGCCAGGTGGAGGAGAATGAAGGGGGGAGAATGGGACAACTGTAATGGCATAATCAATAAAATATATTTAATAAAGAAAATAAAAATAAAATAAAAAATGAGGTTGATCTCTATATGCTAATAGAGAAAAATTTCCAGATGGGTGACCAAAGCAAGGTTCAAAACAATATATATATATATATATATATATATATATATATATATATATATATATATATATATATATATATATATATCGTCCAATACAATGTACAACAATGTATCATACATTTTGTGAAAAA